CATATTGCACGAGAATGTGAAAATCCCCCGAACAAGCTTTTAGTGGACCAAAAGTACAAAGAGTTAAAAGAACGACAAAATGAATGGCAAAACAAGTATGGACATTTAAACAGGAGAGGGTCGCAGTGGAGGGATTGACTGCACCCCATGGAAGGAAATGTCCCACGCCAACTCCCAATTCAGAACCAATCGCATGTGGGAATCATTCTGCAACACAATCACTTAACAGAGAACTTCCAAAGGGGCTAATTGGACCTAAATGTACTGCTACAGTGAATGTTGAGGGAGTGCAATGTGACAGCCTAATTGATTCAGGGTCACAGGTGACAACTGTCTCAAAATCCTTTCATGAAAATCACCTCTCTCATCAGCAGATCCTTCCAATCCAAGACCTGTTAGATCTTGAGGGTGCTGGTGGTCAGGAAGTCCCTTATCTGGGGTATGTCCAAATTTCTCTTGATCTCCCAGAGGATGTAATGGGGGCACCTGAAAGGGTTGACACCCTTGCACTTGTCGTTCCTGACCATAGATCCAACATACACGTTCCCCTCTTGATTGGTACAAATGTACTAGATCCACTGTATGAGAAATACGCACTTACCTTGAATGAGCGTGCAGCACATAAGTCAAAAAGTACAAGTAGTTCTGCCCTAGCCAAGCATTTGTACCACAGATTCAAAATAAAGCAGCAGAATGGCAGAGTTGGAACTGTGAAGCTACAGAGCAAAAAGTGTGTTACCATCCCTGCAGGAGAAAAGGCAGTTTTTAAATGGGTACACAAGAAACATCCCAGTCGCTAATGAGACCACCCTCTTGGTTGAGCCTCCAAAGTCAAACTTACCTTCTGGTCTCTTGTTTTGCAGTTATGTCATGACATGCCCTTCACGTTCCTCCTTTAAGTTACCTGTCCTCGTCAAAAATGATACGGCACATGACATCAGAATCCCAGCTGGTCTTATGATAGCAGAGGTCTCTCTCCCAAATGCTGTGTCAACCTTGTCGGCCAAAAACAGTAAAGTTAAAACTACTGAAGAGTCTCACTCTGCTCCAAATGTTGCAACCTGCAGTTCAATGCAAGTACCTGAGTCTGACCAACTCACCTTTGATTTCACAGATTCCCCTCTATCAGAAGAGTGGAAAGAGCGGATTGTCAAGAAGCTTAAGTCGATGTCTGATGTCTTCGCTTTAAATGACCTAGACTATGGGCACACCACTGAGGTGAAGCACAGAATTCGCCTGTCTGACCCCACTCCATTTAAACAACGACCTCGTCCTATCCACCCCTCTGACTATGAGGCTGTCAGACTTCATCTGAAAGAGCTTAAAGATGCCAATATCATCAAAGAATCAGAAAGTCCTTTTGCTTCCCCTATTGTGGTGGTAAAGAAAAAAAATGGCACCATTAGGCTTTGTGTCGATTATCGGAAGCTAAATAGCCAGACGATAAAAGATGCCTATGCGCTGCCCAATATAGAGGAAGCTTTTTCAGCCTTGTCTGGCTCAAAGTGGTTTTCCATCATGGACCTTAAGTCCGGATATTATCAAGTGGAGGTGGAGGAAGAAGACAAATACAAGACGGCATTCGTGACACCTATGGGGTTCTGGGAATTTAACAGAATGCCCCAGGGGGTGACTAATGCTCCCAGCACTTTTCAAAGAGTCATGGAAAAGTGCATGGGCAGCATGAATCTGAGTGAGGTGTTGGTCTTCCTTGACGACCTTATAGTCTTTTCTGCGACACTCGAGGAGCATGAGGAGCGACTCCTGAAGGTGCTGAACAAGCTCAAAGACTTTGGCCTTAAACTCTCACCTGAAAAATGTCAGTTTTTCAAGAAGTCTGTCAAATACCTTGGCCATGTTGTGTCTGAAAATGGGGTTGAGACAGATCCATCCAAGATAGAGGCCCTTACCACCTGGCCAAGACCGAATAACCTCAGGGAGCTTAAATCCTTTCTTGGCTTCTCAGGGTATTATAGGCGGTTTATAAAGGACTACTCTAAGATAGCTAGGCCGCTCAATGATCTGACTGTTGGATACATCCCACCCAAGAGGAAGTCCCACCAAGGTACCAGACCCTCCACCAATGCCGATTTTAAAAAACCCTTCAATGACAAATGGACAACTGCTTGTGAGGATGCTTTTAGAACCCTCATCCAAAAACTTACAACAGCACCAATCTTGGGATTTGCAGACCCTAAAAAGACATACGTTGTCCACACAGATGCGAGTCTGCATGGTCTTGGCGCTGCTCTATATCAGGAGCAAGAGGGCAGCTTGAGGGTAATAGCCTATGCGAGTAGGGGACTTTCGCGCTGTGAACGGCGATATCCTGCCCACAAGTTAGAATTTCTCTCTCTCAAATGGGCTGTAACCGAAAAGTTTTTCGACTACTTGTATGGGGCAAGATTTACAGTAGTGACGGATAACAACCCCCTAACATATATCTTGTCCTCTGCCAAACTTGATGCAGCAGGCCACCGCTGGTTGGCTGCCCTCTCCAGTTTTAACTTTAGCATCCAACATAGAGCTGGCAAAAAGAATCAAGATGCTGATGGACTTTCAAGGCGTCCACATCCTCAAGACCATGACATGCCTGATACCACTTCTCAAGATGAGGATAATAGGATCAAACAGTTCATTGCTCAGTTTTTACAGAGTCACAGTGAGCCAAATGTCTCATCTGAGGCAGTAAAAGCAGTGTGTCAAAAACATGAGTTCAATCATTCATTCCAGAGTGCAGAGTCAGAGCTCGCACACCCATTTGTGCCAGTACAGTGCTTAGCCATTGGAGCCTCTGCTTTACCGGATGCATATTGCAAAACAGATATGCTTGGTTCATGTACACTACCAAAAATGTCCCTTGAAGATTGGGCACGAGAACAAAGGCAAGACCCTGTCTTAAATCGAGTCATTGATATTGTCAAAACAGAGAAACAACTCACTTACCGACAAAGACAAAAAGAAACGAGAGATGTTCAGCTGATGCTAAGAGCTGTAAAACAGCTACAACTGATCGACAAGGTTCTATACAGAAAGCGTTTCGATCAAGGAGCTCCCTGTTATCAGCTTGTTCTTCCAACCAACTTCAGGCAGCAGGCTCTTGAAAATCTTCATGATTCCCTTGGACATATGGGTGTTGATAGGACTTTGGACCTTGCCCGTGCTAGGTTCTTTTGGCCTCGTATGGGCCTGGACATCCATGAAAAGGTCAGGACGTGTGAAAGGTGTGTGCGAAGGAAGGCTCGAGCAGAGAAGAGTGCTCCGCTAGTTAACATTCAAACTAGCCGTCCATTAGAACTAGTCTGTATTGACTACCTTTCACTTGAGCCTGACGGAAAGGGGACAAAGAACATCCTGGTCGTAACTGACCATTTCACTAAATATGCTGTGGCGGTCCCCACAGCTGACCAAAAGTCAAAGACTGTGGCTAAAGCTCTCTGGAGTAATTTTTTTCATTCATTATGGATTCCCTGAGCGGTTGCATAGTGACCAAGGTCGCGATTTTGAGTCTGCCTTAATTAAAGACCTATGCTCCCTGCTTGGCATTAAGAAAACAAGAACAACTCCGTACCATCCACGTGGCAATCCCGTGGAAAGGTTCAATCGGACACTTCTCGAAATGTTGGGCACACTTGAAGAAGGAGACAAAACCAGATGGAAAGAATTTGTACAGCCTCTTGTACATGCGTACAATTGTACTAAAAATGATACCACCGGTTTTTCCCCTTACCAACTCATGTTCGGCCGTCAGCCTCATCTTCCTATAGACATAGCTTTTGGCCTTATCACAGAGAGGTGTGCCAAACTTTCCCATTCCGAATATGTGAAAAAGCTTGCAGAAAGTCTAACTGAAAGTTATCGGTTGGCTTCTGAACACAGTCAAAAACAGGCAATCCAAAACAAAAAAAGGTTTGACAACAAAGTGAGAGAGTCCACTTTGGTAACTGGCGACAGAGTCCTAGCAAGAAATGTAGGTCTCAGAGGCAAACACAAAATAGCAGATCGTTGGAGTGAGACTGTATACACTGCTGTAAAGCAAATACCTGACTTACCTGTTTATGTGGTCGTCCCAGAAAATGCAAATGGGCCTGAGAGAGTCCTACATCGAGATTTACTGTTGCCCTGTGGATTTCTACCATCTACCACTGAGGAGGTGAACTCTACAAATCCAAAGCCCAAACCAATCCAAAAAGAGTTGCAACAAACTAAACATTTGCAGTCTGATGAGGAAATAGACTTGGCTGACCTGGAAGATGGAATTCAATACTACTCTTCTTATGACAAACCATCACAAGTGACAAAGGATGGACAAGTACACAGTGAACAGAGAGAGACGGTGCAAACAAACAGTGAACAAGGAGACACATCGCTAACAGACAATGAAGCTCCGAAAAACATCTTTGATGAGGTGTCAGATCACGATTTTTGAAATGTATTTGAACAATCTGAAAGTGAAAGTTCAGTTTCATCTCCATTGAACCCAGAGGCTATAGAGTTTCAACCACTATCACCTCAAGAAGTTGAACAAATCAAGGTCATTCCTGTTCACCAAACTGTTGATCCCCCAAAATCTCCTGCTGGCACTCAAAGTGGCCACAGTAGTCCCACAAGTGAAACGCCAAATGTGACCGACGTTGCAGATGGAAATGAGCAACCAAACCCAGAAGATTCCAACAATGAGACAGGACTGAGGAGGTCTACCCGAGAACGAGTAGCTCCCAGAAAGTTAACTTATCCCACTCTCGGTAGCCCACTAATGACCGTAATGCATTCTATTCTATGGGGATTAGACCAAGCCCTATCTGAGACTTTTACTTTTGATCCTGTAGCCATTAACTCTCTGTTTAAAATAGTGTTATGTGCAACATGCAAGGATGCATGCTGATTTAGGGGGGGAGGATGTAACCCACCCAAGTTTTACTTGTTGAATTGGAAATGTGTTCCTTTAAATTTCATTTAACTATGCAGTGTCATATGCGCCCAGTAGACGGTGCTTTAGGTTTTGTTGCAAATGCACACCATCTTGTGAAGAAGCTGGACAGCACATGTAAGCTCTATTGTGCAAAAATGTGGTAAAATATTGCCTAAATTGTTAAATAACAACTTGGTTTTGGTTCTTAGAGATACATCAAATTGTAAAGAGTTCTGGAGAGGAAGTTTTGTCCAGGTTTTGTTTGTTCTTGTTCTCCGGTGAGTGTGCTAAGGTGATATACTAGCTCAATTTTGTTTTCTACCTTGACTTAACTACATGATGCAACGACCACTTATTATTTACATGATTCAGAGAATGTATGAAAAAACCAACTGGAGAAATATATAACTATGTACAAATCAGAACTTATATACAGATTTTAAGGGTTGTTACACTACCATGTGCACTGCTAGTGCCACATGTTGAATACTGCGCATTGTGTAAAAAAACCTACAAGCTACTGTAATCCAGTTAAAAGTAGTTCGAAATGATTTAAACCAGATCTGAATTTGTGCTTTGCGGAAATTGTATTAATGTTGCCCTGCTTGTGCAGGTTGGTTTTTTTTGTTGACCCGAATTGACCTGGGACTGTTCGCTGTGAGGCTGGAGTCACTGGATCCAGGACCTGTGGACCTGCTGGACGCCTTGACGTCTCTTCTTGGTGGACCTGGCCTTCATTGCAGTACAGTTGAATTAAACTAAGATCTTGTGCACCAACGAAAGAAAGAAACAAAAAATCATACTACCCGGGTAGATGAGACAAAATAGTTTTTTTTCAGAGCTCTGAACTTTTTATTTTTGAAAGGACAAATTGTTGGACAAAAGGACTTATTTATGTAGGGGTAAGCTGGTAATACTTGGGGAAGAATATTGATTCTGTTCAATAAATTTTACACACTTTTCTCATTTCAACCTACAGTCTAAATTTATTACACCTTCTTTCCTCCTTTAGAACCTAGATTGCTGGGTACACGTATCATTCATATCTTACTAGTTCGTTTGGTACAGGTTACATGTGCATTTCATGGATGAAGGGCATCATGGTGTTTTACAATTCCGTAACCATTTTCTCCATTTCGTGGCAAGAAAGGTGTTTCCTTTCCTAAAATAAGTCCTGTGACACTTGGCGTCCCATACAGGTCAGGTTACCAAAGCAGCTGCAATTCCTCCACAGAGGGTGTTTCTCGATTCCTAGGAACCTTCCTCCAAAGACCACTTTGTAGCAGTCCTCCAGAGTCAGCTCCTCCAAAGCAGAGTCAAGTGTCCAGCTCACAGCTCTTAGGAGCGCACGTCTAAGGCTACGTTCAGACTGCAGGGCTTAAATTAATGCTCAATTCCGATTTTTTTGTGAAATCCGATGTTTTTGCGAGGTCGTTCACATTTCCAATTAAATGCAACTTGTCTGTGACTCCAGTGTGAACGGTAAACGGCCCGAAAGTGTCCCGCATGCGCACTGGAGACACGATAACGTCAACCCCATGCGTCAACCGCAGCGAGCGTGCTCTGTGTTTACGGAAGTTGTCCAAACATGGACGCGAGCCTTGAGCACCTGGAGATTTTACAGGGAGGGCCAAGATGGCGGTTTGAGCGGACGCTCCTTTTCAACCGGTTGCGCCAAACTTGCATATTTTTGGGGAAAAAACACTTTATTGCACGCCACACTTAGTTCTTTACTGCTCATCAACTGCCGGAACACTCTCTGATGATCCAATGTTTTCGAGGGATAGAAAAAGAACCTCTAAAGAGAAAAAAAAACTGGCTACTACTACTGTTATGGATGACACTACCAACTGCACCGCCACAACCAGCGCGGAACATGATTATGTCAAAATACCCGACGACAAAGACATGATCCTCGGAGAAGAAGAATTCCCACCTCTGCCTCTTTCAGTCGAAGGGACCCCTTGCAAAGAACCAGCTCCTAAAAAAGCACTGCTAGCAACTCCTGGAGATGACGGAAAAAGAGGCTATGGTGGTGACCAAGATGTGATTGGTATTCTATCAAATCTGATTAACACCCGTTTTGATGACTTGGAAAAACTGATCAATGCTAACACCGTCAGTATTGAGGGTCTTAAGAAGTCCGTTGACTTTGCCTTTGATCAAATTAAAGACGTAAAACAAAGAGTTGATGTGATTGAAAGTAACACACGCAAAGATGGCGCCACTATCCTCCAGCTACAAGAACGACTTGTTGAATCTGAACCCTACTCCAGACGCTGGAATCTGAAACTTTACGGGGTACCAGAGACTGTGATTAAAGAAGACGTAAAGAAAGAAACCATCCGAATTTGCCAGAGTGTTTTCCCTGAGGGTAAACAAAAGCTTCCAGACGTGATTGATATAGTACACCGCTTAGGGAAAATGAGGGAGAATGAGAACAAACCGAGAGGAATCATTCTACGGTTCTCGTCCAGAACTTATCGAGATGCAGTGTGGAAAGCCGCGAAAAACAACTCTTTCCTGAAGGAGCGCCATCTTTACTTCACGGAAGATCTGTGTCCAGCAGACCGCGAGAAAAGAGCAACGTTGTGGCCGGTGATGCAGGCGGCCAGACGAGAGGGGAAAATCGCCTACTACGTGGGTCCCCGCGCTTACATCAGCGGCAAAGAAGTCAGCCTTCCCGGGAACTGATTTAAACAAATGTATACAACATGCACTTTTGCAGAAGATTGACCATTTATTGTTCAGGTATTTGTATTGTGGTCCGAGTTTTTTGTTCTATATTGTCACAATAAGCTTATATCCAATATGGCAGGCAGCAAAAAGTTAATTTTGAACATGTTTTATACTTGAAACCTAAGTTGGCATTAAACCAACTCATTTTATGTTTTAGTTTTTTCCATTTTATTAATTTATATTGGCGCATGGATTGAAGCAACACAGTGCAAGCACTTATTTACTCAGGTTTTTGTTCTTTGTGTTCATGTCTTTATGTTTAGCTTCTTTGAATGCCAGGGGGTTAAAAAATGCCACAAAACGTAAGGCATTATTTCTATTTGCCAAAAAATTTTATACAGACTTTTTCTTTTTTCAAGAATCCCATTCCACTTCTCATGACACTAATGAGATCTCAATGGGGTGATAATGTATTTCCTTCACATGGAACCCAGCATTCAGCTGGTACTCTTACAGTAAAACACAAATTTGAAGGTGATATCCTTTCACACAAATTTGACAACCAGGGACACTTTGTATTCATGGTATTGGCTTATCAAAATAAAACTTTTATTGTTATTAATATTTATGGATATAATTCAAAACGTGAAAACTATCAACTCCTATCCACTTTAGAAAAATTGATGTATTAAATCAGTTCCCTAATGCAATATTAATTATAGGAGGAGATTTTAATATGGTATTGAATAATGAATTAGATGGCCACCACAGACCAATAGTAGCAATAATCCTTTAGTTCAGTTTATGCGACGATTTAGCCTTAAAAACTTCTGGAGAGAGAAATTCCAAACAGAGTCAGTCTTTACATGGAGCAATAATAGTGGCTCAAAGCAGTCTCGACTCGACTACTGGCTGGTGTCTGATTGTCTAAATACAGAAGATGTTAATATTGATATCCTCCCTTCTCCCCTCACTGACCATAAAGCAATCCACATTACTATTATATTTAGTGCTGTCATGCGATTAAAAAAATTGAGAGATTAATTAATTATGATCTGTAATTAATTAATCTAATTAATCTCATTTTAATCTCACCTAAAAATTGCTGAGAAAAGCCTTCAATTTGAGGTATTTTCATTTAAATTCATTATTACATTATTGGGGCAGATCAAAAGACTGATATAGAACAAAAAAAAGTGACTTTATAAAGTAATTTATTGTTTAACAAATCTCTCCAAATTGTCTGTTGAGCCCAAGTCTCCATGAATAAGAAACTGTTTGCTGTAAAGCAGCAAAGACGAGGAAATCTGAACATAATAACCTTTGTCTACTTAAAGACAATAAAAAGTCCAGTCCTTCCTTAACCATATTAAAAATATTATTGATAGAGAAATGCTTTATATATGAGATCACTGGTTTTAGTCCTTGTTTTAGTCCTGGTTTAGACCTGCTTTAGTCCTAGTTTAGTCCTGGAATGGATTAATCCTGTTTTAGTCCTGGTGTTAGTTCTGGTTTAGTCCTGGTTTAGACCTGGTTTAGTTCTAGTTCTGGTTTTAGTTCTGGTTTTAGTCCTGGTTTAGTCCTGGTTTAGACCTGGTTTAGACCTGGTTTTAGTTCTGGTTTAGTCCTGGTTTAGTCCTGGACTGGATTAGTCCTGGTTTTAGTCTTGGTGTTAGTTCTGGTTTAGAGGTTCACAGGAGGAAGCGCGGTTTACGCAGCGTACGCGAGAAAACACGATCCACACGCGGCGCACGGGAGGACAGCGGTGTCTGCACAGTAACTATGGAAGGAAACGTGGTCCGCGCGTTTTCAGGTTGATGACGATGATGAAGGTGTGTGTTTGTTTGTGTTTGTGTGTGTGTTTGTGTGCGTGTCCCCTCATGTGGCAGGTCACTATAGGACAGTAGTGCAGACATCATGAGCCTATGCAGGTTGTTTTCACCAGTGACATTTAAGTTGTAGGCGATTTTATATTTGTTATTTTCTTTTATATTTCACGTCGGGAGAATAATTTCCAAGACACGAATGTGTTTTTACCTGTGCACTGCTGCCTCTGTTCTACTGGCTCTTTGACTTCGTCCATTGTGTGACTGACGTTTACATCGCTCTTACTGCGCGCGTTTTGTGGGGGTTTCCGGCAATGAGTGGAATTACCGAAATAAAAAAAATTTTAAATGTGTTTTTTTTGTGTGTGTGTGTGTTGTTGTCCCAACAACACATAAAAACAGGTTTTATAATAAAGCAACTCGCATACAGAAACAGTAAAGTTAGAGATTAAAAATGAGATTAACGCGATTAAAAACATAACGCGCTAAATATGACTGTAATTAATTAATCGCAATTAACGCAATAATTTGACACCCCTAATTATATTATCTGAAAGTAACTCCCAAACCAAGAAAGCCTACTGGATCCTGATCTTTACTCAGACTTGATATTGTGCAACGTAAGATTTACGAAACTGTCTCTTACTACTTTAATAAAGCTAAAATTGAGAATTGTTACACAAAAACAGGGAATTTTTTTTTATATAAAATAGCGAAATATCTAAGAAAATTTAGTTCTGACTTAAATAAACACAAGAGGGCAGAAGAGGATAAAATTATCCGTGACATTGTGACATTATCCACAAGTCCAGCAGATCTCGCAGAGGAAGATAAAATTTGTTTAGCTTCTTTGCAGAATAAATTAGATGACCTTTATAAACATCGAGCTGAAGGTGCCTTTGTAAGATCTCGATTAAAATGGTTAGAAGAGGGTGAAAATAATTCTTCCTATTTCTTTCAGTTAGAAAAGCATCGTGCCAAATCAAATACGTTACAGCAATTAAAGGTTGTATGGAGGATTTTTTTTTTTTTCAAATTGTCAATGATAGCATTATAGAGATGCAGTAGCCTTGTAATTATGATGACCAAAAAAAAGAGAATAAAAATTCATCAACTCTGGACGTGGTGGGGCTAAACATTTGCCAATAGATAACAACACTGCCTCGTTATCTGTTAGCTGACAGGCTGTCAATCAATCTCCCTACGTTTCTAGCGTAACTGACTTGCCTGCGCGCCGCCGGTACATGGTTTACGCACAGACGCTGTTTACTCCACCAACGCAACAGTTCTTAGCGGCTTTTTTTGACCTATATCTTCCTTGCAGTTAGCACAAAGTTTGTTGCAATGGCGACAAGAATCCAGGAGCAGTTAGCCGCAAAAGAAAATCCGTTTTTGAGATTGCTGAAAGAAGACAAGGGGAAAAGCAGCGAAGCCAAACTAAAGTGATTCTTGAAGATTCATTCCAGCGATGGCGCAACTGAAGCAGACGCAGGGTCTAAAGACTGACGCATTGGTCGCCAAATTACTCCTGGACAGGTCACTTCTGCTTATTATGAAAACGTACTTTATTTCCAAGAGCTAGTCAAACGTTTTTCAGGACACGAAAGCGATATCCTATGTCTGAAAACGTAATTTTCAAGGCAAAGAAAGAGTCCGCTTGCTGCTGCGTGTTGTAGCTAGTTCATTCGCACTGAATCTCCGTGCAACCTTCTCTGCACCCCTTTCCTGCTCCTCTCCCCGCTGCCCGATCCGCTCTTCCCCCTGCTCCTCACTTCTCCGGGCACGGAATCTCCGCGCACCGCTCCCCTCTCCTCTCCCTGCTCCGCTCTTCTCCCTGCTCCTCACTTCTCGTCCGCGCACGAAATGTCCGCGCACCCGCTCCCCCCGCTCCTCACTTCTCCGTCTTGCCTAACCAACACTGTAGTTAGTTGTTTACAAGTCATTTGCAGCGCACCGGCTGTAAACAAACCTGTTTCTGGCGTAAGGAGGAGGCGTTTCTACGTAGGGAGCTGTAGGGGAGGGGGGGTGGTTTCACGCATGCGCAACATTTGAAAAAGGACAAACAGTCGCTGGATTTCTCGTTCCTTGGAAAATCCTCTATACAACCTTTAACCCTTCCAGACCTAAGGGCATTTTTGGTACATTTGTCCTCGCCTGGATTTTTTTCCTAATTTTGCTATTAAAACTCCCCCTTTTATCCCCTAATGAAGTGCTATACATCCTTTTTTTCAGTACAACCTGTTCTTTCACAATCTGAGTGCTGTAGTTGTGTCATATGGCTGTAATAAAAGCTATAGCACTAGAAATACAAAGGAAAAAAAAAAACGGAAAATAATATTCACACTCCTTTATTCAAAACACACAGCAAACTTTTTAGACATAATAAATACTTAGTTTAGGGTCTTAGCTACAAAAGTGCAAAATATGAAGTTTGTAGGTATTCTAAAAATGTCATTTTTGCCCTCAAAACAAAAAAAAAGTGCACTCGTCCAAGTCCTTCACTATTGCCAATCATGGAAGCAGTTCCTATCAGGCACCAGGCATAGTGCCACATCACAGGCCTTGCATTTCCATGCAGTACACTGCCTCTTCCCCTGTGTTTGTCAGCAGTGCACACATGACAGCCTCCCATATGATCCTTGCCTGCTGCGGTCTTCCTGGTGTGGTGGTTAGTAAGTGTGGTGGTCGAGATGAAGTACTGAGGAGTGGAGATCTGGATCTTCCCTGCCCTCCATCCCTGCCCCTCCTCCTGCTCTCAGAGGAGATCGTAGGTGTTGAAGGTATTGATGGTTCTGGACGGGTGGCTGGGGTTGTAGACACTGATGAAGCTGGGGAGACACCTGAAGTGAATGGCACAGGGGAATCTGGAGGAGCCTGAGGAACATCCTCTGACTCAGCACTAAACAAAAGAAAAGGAAAAAATGTTAGCTTGTGTGCTTGTGTAAAACTTGTGTATTACATATGTACTACAACAAGTCTAAGTCTAGTCCAGCAGGGGCAAACACAATGTACAACCCCATCCCCCACCCAAATGGTGTCAACAGATTATGACCTCACTAATTAGGACATCCACACATCCCAAACCACTTCATCCACTTTACACATGTAGTTTGTAGCTAGTTATTACAAACAACAACATACATGTCATAAGTCTAGTGCAACACAGGTAAACAGTTGTCTGAAGTTCACAATCTCATCCCCCACCTAAATGATTATACCCCTCACGCATCAAATAAAACTGTATCCAAACAATGCGTAAATAGGCATTACGCATGCTACTACTATTATGTATTTACGCCCGTTTACTACAAGTGTTGCATGATGTTTGCTCTAAATAACTATGAAATATTTGCTACTTACTCTTCAATAGGGTCCAGATCGTCCAGGTAATCCAACTCTTCATCTGTATAAAAAGTGTCCACATCGGACTCGGCGTCACTGCCAGGCTCCGTTACCATCGCCACCGCTTCCAGCAAGGAAAGTGACGCTTTGCGTGCCATTTCTGTTCGTTCGTTCTTTCTTTCTTCTGATAGACTTCCCGGAGCTCTTTATCCTCTGTGCGCAAAACAACAAATGCCTTGGCACACGAACAGTGTTGGGAGTAACGCGTTATAAAAGTAACGAATTACAGTAATGCATTACTTTTTGCTGTAACGCAGTAATGTAAGGCATTACAGGGGAAAAAATAGTAATATTTTACTCGGTACAAATGTGAGTAACACGCGTTACAGTGTTTTTTAACCTGGATTGAAGTGGTGGGTTTTTCTTCATACAAATTCGCTAAAATCACCTCGATATCAGCAGCGGTGAAACGCCGGAGATGCGCCCTCATAGACCTTCAGGTAACCGCGGGCGAAAGAACTGACAAAGAACTCCATGCTGTTTAGACCTGGGTCAGTTTTGGTTTAGACCTGGTTTAGACCTGGGTCAGTTCTGGTTTAGACCTGGTTTACACTCGTCCCTCCCTCTATCGCAGTTCACTTTTCGCTGTCTCGCAGATTTTTTTTTTGTGCAATTTTGCATGCCCTGTTTTTTTTTTTACATTGTATGAATGCGTATTGCGTTCCTCCCGCTGCGTCCTGACTGGCCAAGGGACTCCTGTCTCCTGTACAGAATGTGTTCAGCTGCCAAATTTAAATACATGTTCAGTCTCTAGCAGTGTGATTCTGAAGTGCTGTACGGTTGCAAGTTTTCTCCCCGACGAAACCCACAACGTCGACGAAATGTTCTGCACCGACAAAGGCTCCTGCGCTCGCACCCAAAAGGCAGAGGAAGATGCAAACCATCACACAAAAAGTTGGACTTCTGGACACGCTGAAGGAAGGTAGAAGTTACGCGCTGTAACAGACTCTTGCACCGGCTCGGGTACCTGCAAATAGTTGCTGAAATCAGGGCCGCGAGCCCGAGGAGCAGGGTCCATAAAGAGCGATCGGGTGACAGCCGCTCTTACCTCCGTGAGGTGCGGAGCAGAGCCGCTCCTTTCTCCTGCAGTCACCTTCGAGCCCGTCCCTACAGTGAGTCCTGTTTTAGTCCTAGTTCACTTCTGGTTTAGTCCTGGTTCAGCTCTGGTTTAGTCCTGGTTTAGACCTGGTTCAGTCCATATACAGCGCAAAAGTTATTTTGGTGAGAGTAACTTAAAGTAATGCAATAGTAATGTAATGCCTTACATTTTAAATGCAGTAATATTGTAATGTAACGAATTACTTTGAAATGACAGTAATAGGTAATAAATAACGCATTACAGTTTCAAAGTAACTTGCCCAACAGTGCACACGAATGTGTGTACGCCAAGCGCGCCTCTGCGCGCACCTGCTCACACCCGCGCGCACCCGATTCATTGCTCGGCACTAGGCTGTTTACGTCCTGTTGGGTGTATTATGTATCATTTGCAAGTAAAAAAAAAAACTTTTCAAATAAAAATAGTAAGGGATGCGCGAGATGCGTAATTTGCCATTTACTTGAGAAATAATGGTACTTAGGTCTGCTTTATCAAATGCTATGAGCACAGACGCTCAGAGGAGTAACTATCTTGACTTACAACAATCTTTGGCAAAGTTTGGGCCAATGAAAATGGATGGAGCACGTCACGCGCCGAAGAGCGAAGTTCCTATTGGACACCTGTTTTCACTACGTCACCACGCAGCGTGCGTGTGACGTAGGATGATGCCGGAAAGATGCTCGTAAAGCCACGGGTCTTATCTATACAAGGGAAAAAAAATAAGTCTCTATCTTTTATGGTTAAAAAGTTATGCACGGTTATGTAAAACATGTCCGCCGGTATCGTATACGATACCGTCGGTCTGGAAGGGTTATTAAACATTGATGGCCAAGTAACTTCAGACCCCCTCAAAATCGCTAAATTTGTTAGTACATTTTACAGCAAGCTATATGCTCCCAATGAGATGTCTGGAAGACCTGATTTGTTTCTAAATAATATAGATTCTCAACCAATTCAACCTTCTGACCGTAATATTTGTGACTCCCCTGTTTCTGTTAATGAAATAATCACCTCAATAAGCAAATTGAAAAACAAAAAGCCGCGCGCGGCGATGGTGGCCCTCGCCCCGGCGCGCACCGGCTCCCCACGGGACCTCTGGGGACTCGCGACCGCCCCGGCACGCTACTCTCTCTTCCCGACAGCTCCCGAGGCCGACAGCTCGTCCACCAGAAAAATTACATAGTGTACCTTTAAATGTTTCAGAGGAGTCTTTGCGCCCCTACTGGCCAACCGTGAAAAATGCATCATGTCCGTAATAGACTGTTTTGCTTGTTATCATGCATAGAATTTAATCTCCGAATTTGGTACTAATCCGATAATGTTGACGTTTCATGTCTATGGTAGGGGGCGCTATAGAGTTCACTTTTTATATGTTTTATAGTGTATTATATTCAGGCCGTGATCAGGCATTAATGATTCAAATTTCAGCACGATCGGACTAAGCCTGTGGGTGTAATAATTTTTAACTATTTTTTGGTGGAGTCTTTGCGCCCCTGCTGGCCAATGGTGGAAAATGCATCATGTCCATAATAAACTTTTTTGCTTGTCATCATGCATAGAATTTAATCCCCGATTTTGGTACTAATCCGATAATGTTGACATTTCACGTCTATGCTAGGGGGCGCTATAGAGTTCACTTTTATTAAATTTCATATTTCATTACATTCAGGCCTGGATCACGCAATTGTGATTTGAATTTGAGCTCTCTAGGTCAATGCCTGTATCCCCCCAAAAAATTGATGATTTCTGTGAGTTCATGTCTGTAGATGTGACATGTCAAATCTGAGCTCATTTGGACCAAACCCCGGGGACTTGAATCTTTTTGTAGACACCCAATTCAAAACGGCGGCGAATGTTTGATCCAATATGGCCGACTTCCTGTTCGTCATAGGGTCATGCTCCAATTCATCTTTTGGCTTGTCTCATCACTATTCCAATTTTCGATTTGAATTCATTCGATCTGATAATGTGTTATCTGCAGTAATGTGGCTAAAATAGCAAAATATTTACAGATTTATTATTATTATTATTATTATTATTATTATTATCATTATTATTATTTGTAGAATGAGTTTCATTTGATTAAAATGCATTTTACTGCTTAAGTAGTATGCGGTGCATTGTGGGCAATTTCAAGCGCTCTGAGGTGGCCAAGAATCCACCCGTGTTTCTGGTAAAAGAATGCGTAGGGCGTGGGGGCTTGGGGGAATTGGAACACCAGCTGCGGAGCTCTGATGACATGGTTCTGTTTGAAGTGGTCCAGAAGACGTAGAAGCAGAGCAATTGGGAAACTCCATGAATCTGTTGTCTCCCAGTTGTGTTTCATAACTGCCTTGCCTTTCTCAATAATATAAGACCTAGCTATAGTTTGTCAGCTTCTTCTGGAGGGGCCTGGAAAGAGCCTTAAAAGAGAGTCCAGAAGGTATCTCCAGTCGAGGCGCTCAGATGGGCGCTCAGTGCAGTTACATCGAATGATGCGTCGAAGGCAGAACTGTTGACAGAAGCTGAACATGGATTGCGTCAGCTGGTAACAGAGTCATCTGCAGAGTCGAACCTGCAAACCACGATGTAGATCTCATATCAGTCACAGCACAGCAGTCAGTCACATGCTCTTCCTGAAATAGCCAAATCTTGGTCAGTGGCATTGTCCAGTATGTCGTAGGTAGTGACCACAGGCAGGCCACATCTATGTGTAATGTGAATGGCTCTCCTCGTGATGGTGAAGTCACCTCAGATGAAGTTCATGTCAGGGATCTAACCTCTGAGCAAAGAGTCATAGAGCTGCTGACAAAACTTCTCCTTCACCAAGTGAGCAGTGTCCCATTGCTGCTTGTAGATGGACTGACCCTTCAGTGACTCCACGCTGAAGTTGCTGGTTTTAGCTGGCGTGAGGAAAAAGACCACCAGAGTCGCATCACTGCGGTGCAGCTTCTGTAGAATAATCTGTAAGATTATTTATTTAAAATTTAAACAATTTTAGTATTCACGTCAAATAACAGTTTATTTCGCAATCATGAATTAATTAAAGCAGGTTTCATAGGAAAATTCATGCTCATAAGAATAATACTGAGATCAAAAAAGGATTAAAATGTAAGTGAAGTCCATGTTTTGGACAAACTAAACTAGGAAAAAGCAGAAATAAAAACAAAGCTAAACCAAAGACAAACTCAGATTAATTCAGAACTAAACCATGATCAACCCAACCAGGTTTAAACTAGTACTAAACCAAGATTAATGCAGCTCTAACTCAGAACTAAACCAAAACCAGATTAGGTCCAAACAGGAACTAAACCAGGACCAATCCAGCTTTAAACTATATTTTAACATAAGATTAAATTTGTAAACCAGCATTGAATCAGAACTAAACCAAGATTAGGCTGGGACCAACCTAGAACTAAGTTAGAATTTAAAAGGACTGAATCAAGAAAAAAACTGAGCTAACCTGGTCTAAACCAGTTGTAGACCATGTTTAACACTTGAAAAAATTAGTAAACCAGGACTAAACCTGAACCAAATCAATACTACACAAAGTCTAAACCAGAACCAAACTAAGATTAGACCAGGTCCTAATCAGATCGAGAACACACTGGTTGCTTCTGTTCAACACTACAAAATGTGAATTTATTTTGACGGTAAACATTAAGAGACTACATTTAGACAAATAAACTTCTATTATGAACCATGTCAACTGAAAACTTCTAAAGACAGTGTTTGTGCTAAATCTGCAGATTGAGAATACATAAAAATAGGCATATCCTGTAGAGGTGATCTCAGATAATAGCTCCTTAGTTTTTTTTATTGAAAATGTTCTAAAAATGGGAAACTCATTTTATTTGCAGGATATTTTGTCTCCCCTTGGTGGAATAATTCTCATTTGGAAATGACAGTAATTCAAAGAAATCAAATAGAGATGCGTACATAGTTTATTTTCCTTAATCCTTATTTAAATTTTGATATTACAGAGGATGAAGTAAGAAAGGCATTGATAAATCAAAGTTAGAAAAGCCACTGGATTTGATAATCTGTCTAATAAACTGCTGAAACAGCCTGGTATGTCCTCAGTACTTTAAAATATTATTATTTATTACTTGTTTTAAGTCTTGTCCTCTCTGGCTGGCAAAAATCTATTATCAAACCAATCCTAAAATTTTCAACTGCAGACCCCCAGTAACCATGAACTACAGAGGCCTCAGCCTTCTTAACTGTATATAAACCTTATTCTATTGTTCTTAATGAGAGGCTGGTCTGTTATCTAAAATCTTTAATGTATTGGCCGAGGCGCATAATGCATTTAGGAAGAAAAGAGCCTGTATGAATTGCATATAATGTTAGAAAACAAGAGGGAAACCCTACTTTTATTTGTTTTATTGACTTTCAGAAGCCTTTGACTATGTAAATTGGGACCTGTTTTATTTTCAGCTGCTACATATTGATAATGACGGCAGATTTTATGATTCATTCTAAGCTATCTATAACATTTATTTTAATAAGTATAAACAAAAGTAGCACAATAAAACTTTATGTAAACCAAAATTAAGAACATATATCTTAATTAAAAACTGTTTTGGACCTGAATTGTATGTCACTGTGAACCTGAGTTGTATGTCAGAGGTCAGTTATCTCAGCTGACATATGGGACTTTGCCCCTGGCTCTCTCTCTCTCTCTCTGGAGCAACACACATGCTCTGTGCGACTTTCAAAGCATTGAAAATGAAATGCATTTCCTGTTTTACTGTCCCCTGTATCATGACCTGAACTGTCAGTTGTGTCTAATGTGTCTTACTGTTTGTACTAAATGTAAAAGACTTTATCAATTTCATTGTAGCAACAGGTTATTATTCAAAGCAATAATGTCAATTAAATTCAAAGTAAATGTTGCTTTAAGACTACTCAAAGCTTCTCTTTTCCCAATTCATACTGATTCATATATTAATATTGTTTTGTAATTTTTCAGCAATATTGTTTTTACTTAAACTATAAATCGTATATAAAAGCTACAAGCGATTTTAATCAGTATTAAATTAATAATATTAGGTTGGAATTAAGAAAAACGAGCAAATATAAAATAGGTTAAAGTTACTCTATACCTTCAATGCAATTAAACATACTTAATTAAATTTGAACAACGTTGCATTTCTCAAGAGTGTATATATGTCCCATTACACATTTCGCATAATCACACCAAGTTACGTAATTCCTTCAAATTTCTCCTGACCCACTTCGCACACCTTCATACCAACTTACGTATTTCCCATAGTTGGACACGCCCTCACCCACACACATTTCACACTTCTCTCTTATCAACTTACGTCACACCCTCTCATCAACTTTCCTAATTTCCATAAAAACTCGTGCTACACACCGCATACCCGCTTATCGACTTACATAATTCTTTCAAACTTTCTTCGCCGCCTCACACGCTCTTCGCGTACGCACGTCGCACCTCCGCTCGCCAATGCAACATCAAGCCGCTCCTGCACATGAATTTCCCAATTCATATACAAGAATAGCTCAGCACCGCACTAGTAAGCAGTAATGCGGAGCGCACCGACAGGAAAACACATACAGAATATCCCTTCAACAACAGCACAACAAACAAACAATAAATTTGCCATTTACAACTATGCCAACCAACGGACAACTAGCGTGCACCCCAAAAACAAAAATGCCATCAAATATTAAATACAGTGCCTTTAATAGTTTAGCAATAATTAGTTATCCTACCTAGATCAGAAGGGACAGAAATAAAGGCGATTAGATGTAACCTGTATCGAATACACTTTTAGTTTAGCAGACTTTTATTTTGGCGACTTTATTTTTTGTGCTTTATTTGCTCATAATTTATCTTTGCCTTTCATTTTACTTTCAATACAGTTATAATTATCAACATTTTTGACTACTGGTTGTCATTCCTACCCTGTGCTCCTTTGACTGCTCTTCTTGTCCTATTTAACATCCTGTCGCCTAGCCTTAAAATTTAACGTTACATAAAGCATAGCCAAAACTTCTCTTCAAAATAGTTTTTTAACATGCCATATTCTTAGATCCTTTAATATTTTAGCGACATTAGATGAGTTTAGACGGTCACAGGTTCTCAGTTATTTCTAGTATTGGGAGGGTTACTCTTAAAATGTATGTAATTATGTATTCCCCTACAGATTACAGATTACATGCCTCAAAATGTAGTTTGTAACGCAATACAGTACATTAAATTACTTTAAAGTGAGTAATGTAATCTGAATACTTTGAATTAATTGATACTGTCATGCTTTTTAAACTACATGAACAAAGCAAACACATCCTGCAAATTCTTGTTTGTTCTCTTTTAAAATTAACTGTTGAGCCCAAGTCTCCATGAACAACTGTTTGCTAAAAGTAACAGAGACCAGAATATCTTAACATGGGATGTTTTGTCTACTTAAAGGCAATTAAAACCCCAGTTTTTCCTTAAGACTTTATTATTTATTTCCTTAAGAAATTATTAATAGAGAAATGCTTCCTATATGAGTTCACTGCCGCTTTAAAATATGTTTACTCTACGATTTACGTAACCTATCTCGTTTAGACCTGGTTCAGTCCTGACCCTAGACTCAGTTCAGTCCAAAATGTGAAAACGGTAAAATACTGCTATGTAAGTCATTTATTTTAACAAAGTAACTGTAATCCAGTTACCACTCACTGAAACGGTGACTTTAACTAAGCACAGTTACTCATAATTTATACTCTGATTACATAATGCTGGTACTTGTTGTAATCCATTACTCCCCAAAACTGGTTATTTCTTTCACTATTTCATGTTTATATCAGATCCACTAATAGCATTTGTTAATTTGTCACTAAACTTATTTGACTTGTTACTTGCAAACTTGGCATTTGTTGTTACAAATTGTAAAGTTAAAACTGTTACAGTTTGACACACTCTGCTTCGTAGGGTTTCTACTTGTTCTATTGACCTTCGGTCAATTCATATAATGTCATGTTCACTTGAACAGGCTCGCTTTCTTTTGACCTTCGGTCTTTTATAATTTCGTGTTCGTTTGAATATAACTTCATTGAACAGGCTTGTTTCTTTTAGAGCTCAGAGTGTAAATAAAAAACACTAATACTTTTTTCTTCTCCTCAATTTAGATTTAATTTTTACAATAGGCCACTGTTTTTTAATCGGTTCTACTCTTTTGTCTCTATACCAAATTTGACTCCTTTCTCCGTGTTCTACTTTTTTGTGCGCAACTTAAGTTTTTTATTCTTTTTTATATAAACTTCATTAAAAGCTTTGTTTTTTTTCTGCGTAAAAGTTTAACCACAGACATATATTTTCTTATAAAAATTTCCTTTTCTCTCATGCAAAGCCTAACACGGCACTTTAAAATTAATAACTTTGTTAATTACGCTTTATCTTATTTAAAGGTTGTATAGAGGATTTTCCAAAGAACGAGAAATCCAGCGACTGTTTGTCCTTTTTCAAATGTTGCGCATGCGTGAAACCCCCCGCTCCCCTACAGCTCCCTACGTAGAAACGCCTCCTCCTTACGCCAGAAACAGGTTTGTTTACAGCCGGTGCGCTGCACATGACTTGTAAACACCTAACTACAGTGTTGGTTAGGCAAGACGGAGAAGTGAGGAGCGGGGGGAGCGGGTGTGCGGACATTTCGTTCGCGGACGAGAAGTGAGGAGCAGGGAGAGGTGAGAGGAGAGAGGAGAGGGGAGCGGTGCGCGGAGATTCCGTGCCCGGAGAAGTGAGGAGCAGGGGGAAGAGCGGATCGGGCAGCGGGCACAGGAGCAGGAAAGGGGTGCAGAGAAGGTTGCGCGGAGATTCCGTGCGAATGAACTAGCTACAACACGCAGCAGCAAGCGGACTCTTTCTTTGCCTTGAAAATTACGTTTTCAGACATAGGATATCGCTTTCGTGTCCTGAAAAACGTTTGACTAGCTCTTGGAAATAAAGTATGTTTTCATAATAAGCAGAAGTGACCTGTCCAGGAGTAATTTGGCGACCAATGCGTCAGTCTTTAGACCCTGCGTCAGCTTCAGTCGCGCCATCGCTGGAATGAATCTTCAAGAATCACCTTAGTTTGGCTTCGCTGCTTTTGCCCTTGTCTTCTTCTTTCAGCGACCTCAAAAACGGACTTTCTTTTGCGGCTAACTGCTCCTGGATTCTTGTCTGCCATTGCAACAAACTTTGTGCTAACTGCGAGGAAGATATAGGTCAAAAAAAGCAGCTAAGAACTGTTGCGTTGGTGGAGTAAACAGCGTCTGTGCGGCTTGCGTCTGTGGACTGCGTGACAGGCGTACGTAAACCACGTACCGGCGGCGCAGGCAAGTCAGTTATGCTAGAAACGTAGGGAGATTGATTGACAGCCTTTCAGCTAACAGATAACGAAGCAGTGTCGTTATCTATTGGCAAATGTTTAGCTGGCCCCACCACGTCCAGAGTTGATGAATTTTTATTCTCTTTTTTTTGGTCATCATAATTACAAGGCTACTGCACCTCTATAATGCTATCATTGACAACTTGAAACAAAAAAAAATCCTCCATACAACCTTTAAAGCCTAAAAAATACTATTATTTTTTTAGATTCACCAACTTTTTTTTCGTGAAGTTATAACACGATTCTGGCCATTAAAGCCACTTATTTTGACTTTCTTGACGTGAAGTCTAACACAATTCTTAAATATTCATCAATTGCTAATTTATTTATAGTTCCTTTAAAAAAAAAACACTCAATTAGATATCGCAAGAGTCCCAATAAGTACATCACATTTTTTGACATTAATTTAATAGACAAAAATTCTGACCTTTTTTGTAGCGCGCTCTTTTGCAATGTCTTTTTTTGGGATTCTTGCGGAGTGACGTCTTGGACCTGCCTCCTCCAGAAGTCTTCATCGGAATCACGTCGCGGGTCACCAAATTGTCAGCTTCTTCTGGAGGGGCCTGGAAAGAGCCTTAAAAGAGAGTCCAGAAGGATTAAAGGTGTTCACAAACATGTCTCTTTATTAGGCTCACACAGGTACAGGTCTCTTGATTCAAGTTGATTCACACAGCATCGCTCCACGTCACCTCTCCTAGTACAACAGAGCTGGCAGCTTTATACTGACCATCTCTTCAAAATATTGACAGACTATAACAGGTATTTACAGGAAATTTACAGTAATGTTGACCCAGACAGTGTAATCACAGATTGTCATATGTTAAAGAGTTCAGACACTCCCCCTTTATGTCTCGTATACATCACAAAGTCCATCATAACATGTCCCAAACTCATTGACATTTTAAAGTTCAGACATTGACTTCTCTTTATGACACATGTACAAGAACATTACACCCCTTCCATATTGCATGGTGAATTAACATGAATGAAACACTAAAAATACAGAAAATAATTCCCACAAGTTGCTTGTTGTTCTTTGTTCTTTCTTGACAGCCACATGTTTTGACCCACTTGCAGAAGTGTCAGTGGTCTGGCCTTGTGGCTGTGATTGTAGTAACATTGTCAGTTGGTTTTGTACTGTCTCTGTTTGGTTCTGCCCATCAGGAGTTGTGTAAGATACTAAGAGATGTAGCCTTTGTTTTCTCACCTCCTCCTTTCCACAGTCCTTTGACAGTGGCTACTGCCCGCTCGGCTTCTCCATTTACCTGCAGGTACTTTGGGCTGCTGGTGGTACGAATGAACCTGTACTCTGCAGCAGTTTGATATTTATATTTATCTTTACTATTCTGGCAGTTCACTGCACCACACTCTGTCTGCTCCACACCACCTGATAGACACACCACACCTCTTGTTTAGAGCTCCACGCCCTACACTTGTTCTAGCCCTAAGATTGTGTGCAAGGTAGGGCCCAGAAATACTTCGGAAAGAAAGGTGAACGCTTAAAACAAGTGTCTTTTCTTGAGCGACCATTTCAGAAACGACTACAAAATGTGTGAAATTGTCGATGTAAATAAGGTCAACAGTTCAGAGGGTGATTATTATGGTTATGTTTTCTGAAAATTACATCATTTTATTTTGTCGGTAAATACAAACCTTTTGTAATATTGGTGGCAGTCCGCTCGCCTCCAGTGGTCAAGTTGAATATTGCGTGTGGTTCCGGTAATTAATCTTCATGTATAGGCTTATGTTGCTCCCTTTTATGTCACTATGCAAACACTTTTACATGACACAAAGAGCTACGAAGACACATGTTGGCTGATTCACTTACTTTTTATAATGTTTTTCGAATCAGAACTCTACAACTTACGTAGTTGCTTGGTTCCATCTATTGGTAGAAAACTGAAAACTGTATAAAACGTTTAGGTTCATACGTAACATCACCTCCCCACTAAGATTTGTTGTCAATAAACAAAAGCATATTTTCTTTAACACAACTCAAGAGATAATTTCCCTGTTATACGTCATAAGAGGTAAATTTCTTCTTTCTTTTCTTTGAATAAACATTAAATAAAAATAGGAGAGTTATGTTACTCTTGATATCACTTCTAAGATTCAGAAGTAGGCAGAATTTGGGTGTACTGTTTGGTCTTACCGTGAGTCTGGCTTTAATACCTTTCACTGAGCCTAACTTATATGAGAAAACAGCGGAGTGTTTCTTCAACACCATCTCTAGATTGTCAATTCAGATCCCAATTCAGTTTAATGACTCCCCAGCCACTACCAAACAATGGTGGAGCATCCACGAACAAGGGCAAACAGCACATTGCTTGTTTAATTCTACTTGTATGTGATACCCCTGTATCCAATTCCATCTCCATTTTCTTTCCATTGACTAAAGGTATTATTGATATACGTGAATATTTCCATTTTTGAAACAAGGAATAAAGTCCCAAATTGCTATCAGCATCTGATTTAATTTCTTCACTTTCACTTTCCTGTGCCTCAACATGATGAATTTTCTTCTTTTTATATTTCACTCTGGTTTAATGACCTTCCTGTTCAGACCTTCCATCCTTCTGTTTGTGTTCTCTGTCTTGGCTGCTTTTGGCTTTGCTCTTGGACTTTCCTCCCACACTGATGACAATCTCTTTTTTCCATTTTTCCACAACGGCGACATTTATCACTGCGAAAATACATCCTTAACTCTACATTGCATGCTGCTGTCTCTGACAACACAGCATGGGCTGCTGCTTTCTGGAACATGAGATCTTTCTCAGTCAAAAGGTGCTTCTGAACAGTTTTGCTCTTTAATCCACATACAAATCTGTCTCTTAGAGCGTCTTCCAAGTAACCACTGAACTCACAGTGTTCCGACAGTCTCTTAAGCACCGCAACGTACGGTGCTACTGTTTTTCCTTCCCTTTGATTTCGCTTGTGGAAGCAGAAACTTTCAAAAGTTTTGGAGCTAAATGGGCTTGCAACACAGTCACAGTCTTGCTATAGGTCACTGTACCAGGCTTCATGGGAGCTACCAGACTGCAGTGTAGTTCTTACGTTTTAGGTCCCATCACACTAAACAACACTGACACTTTCTTTGCAGCCGGAATGTCATTCGCCAAAATGTAATGTTCAAAACGTTCATATACATAGTTGTGGTCAGTAATTTTGTACACATGAAATAGCATGAAATTTGGTGAGGTGGTACCTTTTTGAGGATTTTTCAACTCTGCTCAGCCACCACATCAGACCGTCAGTACCCTGTGTTCATCAAATTGTCATGTTTAAATCATTAAGCACATAAAATGTGCAGTTTTTGGAAATCCGGGAAAATGTTTTGTTCATTAATTTTATTTATTTTTTTACTTTTTAGGATTATTCTTTTCAGACAATTCTGTGCTACATCTTGGTCTAAATTTGAGATATATATGAAAGGACAAATTTTTGTGTTGGCAAAAAAATACATTTTGATATTTTTCCTATCTGATAAATGCAAAGCAGATCATTTTGTGCTGTTTTCTTGCAGCCTGGTAATGGTCAATAATTGGCACCAACATTAGTTTTTGTGCATTGGTAGATTTTGTGTAATGGTAAAATACTCACATTTGCGCAGAAGATGTGCACTGAAATGGACATTCATAAAAAGAATTGGATTGATTGTGTAACCTGTACCAAACGAACTAGTAAGATATGAATGATACGTGTACCCAGGAATCTAGGTTCTAAAGGAGGAAAGAAGGTGTAATAAATTTACACTGTAGGTTGAAATGAGAAAAGTGTGTAAAATTTATTGAACAGAATCAATATTCTTCCCCAAATATTACCAGCTTACCCCTACATAAATCAGTCCTTTTGTCCAACAATTTGTCCTTTCAAAAATAAAAAGTTCAGAGCTCTGAAAAAAAACTATTTTGTCTCATCTACCCGGGTAGTATGATTTTTTGTTTCTTTCTTTCGTTGGTGCACAAGATCTTAGCTTAATTCAACTGTACTGCAATGAAGGCCAGGTCCACCAAGAAGAGACGTCAAGGCGTCCAGCAGGTCCACAGGTCCTGGATCCAGTGACTCCAGCCTCACAGCGAACAGTCCCAGGTCAATTCGGGTCAACAACAAAAAAACAACCTGCACAAGCAGGGCAACATTAATAAAATTTTCGCAAAGCACAAATTCAGATCTGGTTTAAATAATTTCAAACTACTTTTAACTGGACTACAGTAGCTTGTAGGTTTTTTTACACAATGCGCAGTATTCAACACGTGGCACTAACAGTGCACATGGTAGTGTAACAACCCTTCAAATCTGTATATAAGTTCTGATTTGTACATAGTTATACATTTCTCCAGTTGGTCTTTTATACGTTCTCTGAATCATGTAAATAATAAGTGGTCATTGCATCATGTAGTTAAGTCAAGGTAGAAAACAAAATAAAGCTAGCACATCACCTTAGCACACTCACCGGAGAACAAGAACAAACAAAACCTGGATAAAACTTCCTCTCCAGAACACTTTACAATTTGACGTATCTCTAAGAACCAAGAACAAGTTGTTATTTGACAATTTAAGTAATATTTTACTACATTTTTGCACAATAGAGCTTACATGCGCTGTCCAGCTTCTTCACAAGATGGTGTGCATTTGCAACAAAACCTACAGCACCGTCTACTGGGCGCATATGACACTGCATAGTTAAATGAAATTTAAAGGAACACATTTCCAATTCAACAAGTAAAACTTGGGTGGGTTACAATTGCATTTATATAGTGCCTTTCAAAATATCCAAAGCGCTTCACAGTTCATTATTCAGTCACTCCACACTCAGTGGTGGTAAGCTACTACTGTAGCCACAGCTGCCCTGAGGCAGACTGACAGAAGCAAGGCTGCCAATCTGCACCATCGGCCCCTCCAACCACCACCACTCACGCTCACACCACTTTCATACTAGGCATTCACAGACGTGGGTGAAGTGTCTTGCCTAAGGACACAACTTTTTATCTTTTTTTTTTTTTTTTGCCACTGGCGCCCCACTGTGGCACCTGGAATTCCTTGCAGTGTCCCATCCAAGTACTACCCAGGCCCAGCCTGCTTAGCTTCTGAGATCTGACGGGATCAGGCTTTCCCCGTTATTGTTCATCATTATATTCAACTTTCTTTGTACTCGTTCTTTTCAGCTACTTCTGTTCTAATATAAATATACCCCTTTAAATGTCATTTTGGTTTTGAATCGACCCTGATTTTACTTCAAAATTAGATAAAAGGAAAGGAAAAAACCCGATAAAAACTGCCTGCCTACCAGTCAGGGCTCAGTCTATGGAATCATAATAGGTAACTTTAAAAACATCCATTCTGAATTGGTCTTTTAAATTGCTGTAAATAACTTGTATTTTGTCCATTCATTTCTGTCCACCTGGTGGCGATAAAGCACGAGCCTGCAAACTTGATATTACAGAAGTAGAGGAGGCAGAGAGCCCAGCGGATGTGGTGGAGACAACAATTTTAGCAGCGTGTAAATCGTGAGTTGAGATCTTTGTTATCTCTGAAGACTCAGATTATATTAGGCTGTAGGCCTATTTATGTACAAGCTCTTCATTTTGTAAGAACCAACCCTATTTTACTTTTAATTAGGCTACTAGTAGGCCTACTATCCACAGTTGTCAATATAGTATAGGCTGTACCCACATTTCTACAGCTATGGCAGTAGGCCTTCACTAAACTGCAAGATTACGATGTATGAGCAGAATTACTGAGCATTTTTGATTGTTGGGTATATAAACAGACAAAACGTCTTGCATGTGTCACAGGTGAACAGGGGAAATGAACGCGGCAAGGCCGGTGCCTGTGATGCGTCTGCCCAAAGGACCAGACCCTCACGGTCGCGGCTTTAACCCTCAGTCCCCACGCTTCATTGCCCTTTGCCGGACATCCATCGCCTCTTCTCTGGCCTCGGATGTTGCCCCAGAGGAGCTGCAAAGGGAGCAGCTCATGCGCTCTGAACTGCGGGAGCGCTTCCTGCGGTGTCTTCTGTCTATGTCCAACAGGGACGTGCGCTTCAATATGTACGAAAATGTGAAGGTGAAAGCGACGTTTGGAGCGTCGGACATCGATGTGCTGAACTTTCAGGTTTCAGACCTGCACACCCCTATTGGAATTCAAAAAGAGGCGCTGATCCGGACTCAAGATGTTGTTTCTCTCGTTTTTGACTTGTGAGCTCACTTTTGGGATATTATAAATATTTCGCTTTGTCTTTTTAGATATTCTAACTCGGTACTGATACTACTACTGATAATACTTTTACATATGTTTTTCCACGTTGTAAACATGTTTCACTGACACTTTTTCTACACTAGATGGAGACAAAAGATTGTTATTAAAAGACAAGGACCCTTATCTGTCAAATTTGATTGACGTTTTCAATTTATTTGAGCAGTATTTGACTCTCATCTTTCACATATATTCTAATCCACTGTTTACAGAAATCTTACTGAGAATAGTAAGTGTTAATACCGAGCCCAATTCGACATTTCAACGACTGTTGGTTATTTTATCAATCCCATGTGCATCTTAAATTAAATAGTTTACATAGTCTTGTCAGATCTCAGAAGCTGAGAAAGGCCATGGCTGAATAGTACTTGCTTACCGCCACCAAGTGTGGAGTGAACGACTAATGCACTCACTCCCATGTGTGGTACTCAGCAGTTCCGAAAGTAAAATTTCTATTAGTTTTTCCCCATAGACTTTTCAAAAATTTCAAATATTAAGAGTTCAAAAACATCATGGAGGGTATCGGCTACCTGGTAACTAATATCCATAACACAGATGTTTTGAGTCCAAAAAGCACATAAACCTTAGATTTTTCTAGACATTTTTGAAACACAGAAACAGATTTTAAATAAAATTATTAGGTAATGTGATCATTAGTTATGAAGTTGCTGATTAGTTCAGAGCAAGTTTTCAAACTTTTAATATGCATTGTTTTTGGAAAGTCTATGGGAAAAATTAATGAGAAATTTACTTGTGGAACCGGAGTCACTGTTGAGCTCATTTAGACAGTTTTACACAGTCATTTCAAAGACTTTATTGTACAGTTTATGGTTGAGCTCCATACATGTGCGTGTAGTCAGGCTATTCGACGGGGGTGATGAAGAGGTCTGTTTTCCCAGCCCCAGCATCTTATGGGCCCAAACTTGGAATCTCAACCTATTAACTAATATTAGAGGAGTGGCCTGTGTGAGTCTTTTTGCACCAGGCCCCCAAATTCCTGGTGACGGTCTTACGTGTAGTGTCTTACTCAAGGAAAATGACCTTGTGCATTGCCCAACTACGACACCAGGTATTCCTAATGGTTCCATTACTAATCAGGCCCTTTGCTTTTGAGATTAGAAGAGATTACATTGTTAAGGTGGTATGATCAGTAGGAACCTAAGACCAAAAAGTGTTTCAACTTTCAAGTAACATTCAAGGATTTTAAAGGTGCACTATGTACGTTTTCTGGTGGACAGCCATTTTATTTTCTCCCTACCCTTGGACACAGTGTACTATTTTAACAATTTTAAGCATTAATTATAAAGAAAGTGAAATTTGTTTCTTAGAAAAAGGAGGCAATCTGTATGTAATCTTCCTAAAAGGTGTATTTTCCAAGTTCCCAATAACTCATTTTATTTGAGTGCCATTACGCGGCTGTACCGTGTCTGCTTCTTTGTGTACCCGAATAATCTGTCCACTCAGTGAGACAGTCATCTCAGAGGCGGTGACTCACCCCCCCCACACACACACACACACACACCTCTCTCTGTGGCCCTCCCTAATCCAAAATATGACTTAAACCTCACATGACGTCATTGAGCTGTGATTGAATCAGGAAGCCCTCAAGGACAACCAATGTTAATTTCATATACACAGCAGCACACAGTTGTGAGCAGCAGCCTTGAACTCCATAAGTTCTTGCTGTCACCTCACAGATGTCTGCTTCATCCACCGAACGCCATCAAAATAATAAAGGTTTGCAGATATATTGACTTTAATACTATAGAGTAACCACCTCTGTCTCTCTCTTATTTTTTGTGTGTTTTTCGTCTGCTTGCTCTTATCTGACTTCATTAAAAATGTCTCCCTTAGATGCAGAAATACAGTATTTGCAGCAGTTAGTGAGTGTTGGTATGCTGATGGGTCCAGAAATTGAGCCTTTTAAAAAGCCGCCTGCCAACAGGAAACACATTCCTCTTCTTCCTGTTTGTGGTGCACTCTCATTTCCTGGCAAGTGTCTGATAAGTTCCATAATGACTAAAATAACACACATATAACATCAGTTTTAAGGGTCAAGATTAATAAAGTGGTCTTAATATTTACCATCAAATCCCTTTTTTAAAAGTACCGTATGTAACTTTCTGGAGGTTAGTCATCACCTGCATGACTCCAGACAAAAAAACAAGTTTGTACATTCTTCATGGAGATAGATACATTTTATGCCATACTGTAGAATGTTATAGCCAAAGAGTGGATATGCAAGTCTATTCATAGTAAGGATGTAAGTTCTTCAGTGCAATGAAAACAATCAAAATGAAAAAACAACCTGCTTTGATTTTAGTCAAAAAAGTTACATACTTTGACGTTAAAGGTACACATACGTTTTCTTGCTATTGCTTTATCTGTACCACAGTATAACACAGTTCTGCAATGTTATCAATCTTTCATTTATTCAGTCAATGCTTTTTTGGTGGATCATTACAGGCAAAACAACAACATTTCCATGGAGAAAATAAGGTTTTGGGGCTTTAAAAACTTGCTCCTTTTAATGCACAGAATAATAAGCAGTAAATGTATATAAGTCATACTGTATTATCCATAAAACATCAAAGAAGATCAAAGTTTTCGTGTGGCTGCAACCTGTGACTGACCCCTGGTGGTCAACACTGCTATGCTTATACGAAATTACATTACAGGTTTCTTTATGGGTATTGTACTGTACTGTAAATACAAAGGTGGTACAGCAAAAACAAAACATTTCTAATTACTACAAATACATTTTTTAGAATTTAGTAGCATAGCATTACTGGGGAATGAAATGAAATAAAAAAAAAAAATCCCTGTAAAAGTGCAAATACATTTACAAGAACTTTTATACATGGCTATTATCATAGTATAGAGCACCAAAATATGACCTCTATATAGAAGGAGCTGATACAAACATTAACATAAGATTAGTTATCTTCATTATCTGTTATATCGATGTGCTGACCGCATGGTGGTCCACTCCCCTCCCACAGGAGTAAACACAGGAAGATGCTATTTGCTGTCTGTGATGCTCAGGACTCTTAATATAAGCACATGATAAAGGTCTGTGAGAAAGCTCTGTTAATCTGATGCTCTCACTTTGAAACTTACAGATGTGTATTTAATATGAAGGGTTGACATGTGAAAAGTGATATTACTAATACTAATATTATTTAAAGGTCCACTAAGTAAGTTTTTTTGTGAGCGTGTTTACATAGAGATGACATTGCTTTGCCTAGAATGTTACACAATATGGCATTTATCTATCTGTATTTATTCAGTTACAGCTTTCTCACTGATACAAAAAATAATAATAAATCATCATCATCATCATCATCACCAGCTTCTGCTTGTTTGACATCTCCATAAGATGGCAGACACTCAATCAGAAAAGTTACATAGGGCACCTTTAATAAAGCTGCGCAAACTATCTAAAAATAAATAAAATAAAAAGGTTGATTTCTACAGTCAGAAGAGAGGAGTAATTGTTTCTGCCACTGCAACAGTACCTCTAGTTTAAGTAGTATTTTAACTTCAGGGCCAGTAAGTGCATATTGTACTACTACCCCATCCATGCTATGCTCTAGTGACCAAGCTAAACATTCATTTTTTGTGGTTCAAATTTGTTGCCAACCTTTGAGTTCTAACCCTTAATGTGAGCAGATTTGTCATAGAAAACGGTTACAAAAAGTAATTGTGTTATGTGTTACTGCTGCATGCATTAGGAGTTTCCCATTAGGATGAAAGACCCTGCATTCCTGTATTTAGTGTTCCTCACTTTAGCTCACCTGTTTGCTCTCTCTTGTCTAACTGGTGCTGACTCATTTCACCTTTCAGTTTGCCTACATCTAAACAGGCTTTTAGTGGGCCCAGCTAATTGGTTATAATTCCACTTGGACACACACAGCCCTCGCTCTTGCTTACTTCTATCCCTTTTATTCCTTTCCTCAGGAGACATGATTTACTTGTGTCACGGACAAGGACATCTGCCTATTAGCAAGTGCACCACTGACGTAGGCGTACCCCTCCCTCCATATCTGTCGTCTTGTGCCGATCCTCCTCCTTTTGCCTTACCCAAATTGGGGTCGCCAACCTCTTCCGTGCAGCCTGGTGAATCATCAATATGAGACCACTTCCGTCCTCCATCCCAAATTATCAGGGTAACCCGACATTGTCTGCTCTCTACTGTCACATCAGTCAGGAGGCACAGTCAGAGGGGGAATATGAATGAGGGACGAGATGTTTTTGTGAATGATTGTGATGATACCATAGCATCTTCCTTGCTTCATCAAACTGTAATTGTATAATTATAATGTAGTCTCAATATCACAGCAAAAGATAGCACTAGGCTTCTTGATTTCTTGTTCAGATCAATTAAATTTTTTGTTGCCAATCTTTCACATTTATCAAAAAACATGTGGCATTGCGTGCTTTACTTTACTCTTTAAGGTTCCTTACCATAACAATTACATGTATTTTGTACGTGCTTCCACTCTTGACATCTGTACAATTCACACATTTATTATGAAAAATCATAAGCCATTTATAGACATGCCAACCACTGATTTTTACATCCTAATACAAAGGCATTTTGACATTCTTGCAATAAACTACTCCCTCGATCATATAACAACAGTTTGATTGAACATCTGTAGATAATGGTCCCTAGATGGTGCCCATTAGTACGAATGATTTATCTACACTGAAATTTGTACACAGTCAAATTAAAATCAGGATGTTTCATTGTATTAATGTACTTGCAAGTCAAAAAACATAGTGTCCTTCAAGTCCAATGTGAATGCAATTATATGTATTTACAATAGTACTTTTTTGTAAGTAAGTGAATTTAAAGTTATTTATGAATTTCTGCAGTTGTTTTTAACACAGTCTTAGTTTTTCCAGTGTTTATATCTGCTCAGTGCTGTGTGCATACTCAGTATACATTGGGTGCGTGCATGCTCGCAGAGGCAAAAGGTCAGAGCTCCCTCAGTCTAACTGTGAGTCGACTTGGTTATTTGCTGATACTATCAGTGGGCAGGAATCTGAGTAAACACTAACACTCGATAAGCAAAGTAGGCTACATCTTCATTCTTTAGACATTTATTTTTCTAAATCCACCTTCATCTCTGTGCATCTTCTTCTAAAAAGCAGTTTTCAGCTGTTACTTAACAAACAACATTATAGCCTTGTGAATCCCACAAAACCACTATTCTTTATTTAAATTTTCAGAATACCTAAAACTTGAATAGGCCTTTCCTGTTGTAAAACTGCCAGATCTTTGTCCTTAAACCCGTTCCTCTTGCTCAACGTATCAACGGACACAGCTGTCGACACCAGATAGACAGACACATCCTCTGAAGATACTGTAGCAAAGCAAGGAGATGATTCACTCGATTATTCTATCCAAGATTATCTTGTTTTTATACACTACACGGGCAGCTAAAATTACCCCTTATAGTCCAACAAACAACCCACTCTCTGCCTCTCCACCCACCATCTAGTCACCATTTACTCTCATACATCATGTGGGTGAAGTGTCGTGCCTAAGGACACAATTACAGTATGCATTGCCAGACTGCCACCCTTCATCTCAGTCATCGGTGTCATCATCTGTGCTCCCCAGTGGTGTACTGGTGCAAGGTACTGCATATGAGAGGATGTTGGGTCATCTGGTGAATCAAAACACCAAATTATGACATCAATAAAATGGACACAATGTTAAATGATTTTGTAATTAAGAATAAATCAGCATTAGATTTGTTATCAGTAAAATATATATTTATTTTGAAAATGTTTATGTTCAAATGTTTAATGCTGTATATGGAAGCACAGATAGGTCAAGTTTATTAACTTGAAAATTTAAATCTTACATACAGTTCCTTTTGAGTAAATATTTAGTTGTTCAATGGCTCATTCACAAAAAACTGTCAGTAGCTAGATTTTTATAGTATCTTTGGCCACTGTAATACTGAATGCATCAGTGTAGCAGTGTAGTATCAGAGCATGTCTCAATGAAAGACAGATCCATCCCTGTTTAAATGTCCTTCACAAAGATAATGCATGCACACACAGTGTGTGCTGTGTGTGCGTTGTATTGTGAAAGGCCAATACAACGCACACACAGCACACACTGACCTTGACTTTAGCATCTGCAAATACAGTATTGCTAAAATGAGCACTGAGGAGGCCAAGACATTTCCTGTTAAGCTGCCAGTCTTTTTTGTGTAAAAGTGTGTAAAAAATAATGAATGTATAAAAACTGCATGGGTTTTGTAAGGTTGCAGTTTCATACCATGGTCGTACATGTTAGTGCCAGAACTCATCAGTGACTTAGGAGTAAAGAATCTTATCATTGCAAAAACTTCATTTTGAATTCTCTGCCAATGACTGCAAAATGTCTGTCCCTGTTTGGGTGTCTGTAAAAGGGATGTATATGTCTGACTTCCTATGTGTCCATGTACAGGATATCTGCTCACCCCAGCTCTTGTTCGCATAGTGTTCACAATTTATGTATTAAGATAAAACTTGATTCATTGTCAGAAAAAACATACATGTCGTCCAGATTTCTATAGCAGTAGGACTATATTATTCTATAGTTTTGTCACATCCCTATCATCAATATCTAATAAAGACTTATTCATCATAACAAATAAATTTCCTCTCTGTGTTATGTGCCTAAGCATCAATCTCATCTTATTTTATTTGGTCCCTGATAGTTCACTCAGTTGTGTATACTTAATGAGGACAATCTAATTTAGATTAAATACAGTTATTAATCTGCATTATGCACTTGCTTACTGTGCAACTGAATATTAATCAAATCCATATGCTGTGGTCTCTTAATCAATAAGATGTGAACCTCTGCAGTGTTGGGAATCATGTAATTGATTAATAAAATGTGATACTATTAAATGGCTCCTGTTTTTAAACTTTAAATGGTATTTGCGGAGAAAAGAAGAAAAATGATCTGCCTATGCCAATACAGAAGCAGAAGTGTTTAATGGCCTGTAGGTGGGATGTAGAAAAACGGCCTTGTTTGAATGGTAGGGAGGTATCACTTTATGGCTCTCTCCACCCCCGTCGGAAGTCAGCGGGACAGACAGCCGAAGGATTTTCCAGAGGATGGGAAAGCTGGAGGTTGGAATTAAAGCTCATTTGAGCTGAAAGCTGTGACTGCGCTTGTCTATACATTTAGCAAAAGTGGTGTTTAAAAACTGTACTATAATAATTAAAATATAATTATAATTTCATTGTTATAATGATATTTATTATATTGATAAAATGTTTACATATTTATTTTTTTCATAAGTACTATATACATTGTATTTGAAAACAGTATTAGGGGCACATCCAATTTTACCAAAAGAGGCAGCAGGGTTTGCACAGTAGAATGAGGAGAAAATCCCAATTTGGCCAAAATGGACAATTATGGCATGTGGCTGATATGTATCACAATCATGAGTCACGTTTCTTCTTCACTGCACTGCCACACGGTCCACTGAGACTCTACCTGCCAAACAGAACAAATGACTGTCGGATGCATCCATTCACAGAGATGCCCGGGACGATCAGTGACTGGGGATGAATGGAGTCTGCGAGAGTGGCTTTCTGAGCACGTAAGTGGACGGGACAGACAAGCGCAGGGGACAGAGAGGAGTGATTCTCCAGATGAGTCCTAATATGTGAGACGGTGCATCCTAAAGAGACGTTTTCTCATGGGCCCACACCATGAATACAAATTCCTTTGAGCTGGAAGGACAAACGCACCTTGCTTAAAACCATAGTACATTTTTTTCTAGTTCCATCCAATCACATATCACAAAATTGGTGACTTCATGGAAGAGCTTATGAGTCATCCATTCATAGCTTTCCCTTGTAAGTGATTCAGTATTTCTTTTATTGTGGCATTGTCTGGCCGACGCAATGTCTGCATAAACATAAATCAAACTGAAAATGATGGTTTAAAAGAAGTTAAAAATGATAATTCAGAAGACATTGGACAAGTTCTGGAATTTATAAGTCATTAGACATAATTTAATCTGCATTTTTATTTCATATGCTAAATATAAAATCTTTAAGAGTCTATTTATTTTTTAGGAATGCCATCAGAGAGGTGTTTGGGTTATATTTATGTATGTTCATGTCAGGGTATTGTAAAGTCATGTAATATAGCTAACAGTACCCCAATGCTTTTGGATCGATTTTTGGTGACATCACTTCTTGGGAAACTTTACGTGAACAGGAAAAGTCAATTTTACTGAAGCCAATTTGACAACCTAGACAAAAAAAAAAAAAAAAAACATGTGTCTGCCTGCATATGGGAGAGAGAATGGGGTGAGAGAGGAAAGTGGGAGGAGATACAAAAGGGAGAACAGAGCAGAGAGGACACCACAGACATAGTAGGAGACCTGGAGTTAGATGCAGCTGGTGATGCAGACAGTGCCAGAGTAGTTGAAGCTGGAGGGCGATAGGTGCAAAGCCAGGGAGAGGGAGGTGCCTGAAGAGAGGTCAACCAGGCAGGAGGAAGCTGGTCAAGAGTAGTTTGCTTATCTGGCAACACTGACAACAGCTAAACTGCAGGGACATGGAGAAAGCAGTACTAAGTGTAGCTCTTATAACCAGGAGCCACAGAAAAGGCAGATATTGTCTTCCCTGAGTGAGCAAGGAGAGATAACAAGAAGAATCAAAGACCACGTCAAAAGTCTACTTTGCTCTGTCCGGAAGAGTAGGAGTGAGAGACGAGGGATCTTAACACTGGATCTCAAGGATAAACCATGGACTCTGCATACATCTCAACACACCTGGACGTGAGTAGTACATCTTTGTCACACGCACACACAAAATACACACACATTCATATACCTCTCTGTCTGTCAAACCACAGGCCACAGAAGCAGTGCTGCTCAAGCTATTAGTCACTCTGGGGAGAAACGCACACACACAAACACACTCACACACACATGCACACTGCTGGCACACTGTTGCTCAATCAAAAATCCTGTCCGGTAAGCAACTTGTCCAGAAATAATGCGTCTGTTATGAGTTCAAAGAGCACAACGTAAGTCAGCGCACAGCTCTAGTCCCCCTCTGAATTGGCTCTCAGTGTTAATGCTGCTCTAATGTACAAACCAGAGGCATGTTTTTGTTCTGTATTTCACATTGATTTAGTGGCCAGCACTGCCTTTGCAAGTGTCATGATTTCCACTTACGTTTCTTTAGTGTTGCATCTTGATGTATTTGTAACACCCTCACCACCATAGTGTATGTTAGTTATTACCAATATTATTAAACTGCCATAGTTTACTTTCCACAGGTACATACAGTTTGCATGTCAGCAAATGTATTTCGTCTGGGTTATTAGCTGGTTAATTGGTCCATATGGAATAAATTAGACTGCTCTTATAATAGTCTCCAATAAAACCATACAGTGCCTATACCTGGAATATAATGATTTCATCTGTCACCCCTGAGTGAGCACAACTATTATGCATTGATTCAAAGCCATAGGTTATTGGGAATAAAGTGCAGTAACCCCACAGTTAATTATAACAACTGTGGTGTTGCATGCTGGGAAAAAGTTTGTAATGCTAGCAAATGTGCAGCTGCAGTCTACTGTACTGTACTGTATATCATATAGGAGGCCGGCTGACATGACATATTATTTGCTCAATGGGAGAGAACGTGAACCCTGTGGCATTGAGGAGGAACACATCGCATTCGGAGAGCTTTTTTAAGTTAAACATCAGGGAGGAGAGAAAGAAATAGGCGAGAATGAGAGAAGGAATTTGGGAAAAGAAACACGGGAAGAACAACAGGAAGGGAAAGTGGAGGGACCAGGCGTAACATGAAGACAGCAGCAGTGGATAAATCAGCCCACTGCGGTGACATTCCGGACCCTCTGGCCCGGCCACACTGCTCCACACTCTTCCGCAAAAACACCATTCATTTACAGGAGGAAAAATCACTTTAACATTCAGATACAGCATCCAACATTTTAACAACAAAGGAAAGATACTGATAGTTACAAAGGAGTCATTAGCAAACAAGATATGAAATTTGTGAATTAAAAAAAGGAAACAAAACAAAGTGTAAGGGCAGCACAGTTCAAGGAATGTTAGGAGGAAGTAGGAAAGGGGAAATGGGGTTTGAAATAGATAAAAAGCTGGATCCGGGGGCAAACGTGACAAAAGCAGAGGTGACACACGGACATTTGAGGTCAGAGGTTTTAATTAGTGAAGACGGCCGATGCTGCACCACTGTCTTCTCACACAGGTCAGGTCAAAACTAATATGTCTAATAGGCACGAAAAGCCCCCCTGCCTTTGCCTACTGTACTTCTACAGTTATGATTAATCTAGGGATTTAACCGCAGTACAGTCTAGCTCAAACAGTCACAGGAAAAACACATGGAGCCATAATAAAAGTGTCAAGCTTTTGGAAAACTGAATTAGTGTTTCTTAAGGTGGGTGTTACCTTCAGCCACAACATATAAAGATATAAAGAGTTAAAGCTAGTTACATCTACTGTTTTCTAATGGGCAACCATGTGTGCACAGCATATAGTTCATTAAAATAGATATAAATTCACAAAAGGAGGGTCAAAGGTGACTCGAAAAGGTAGGATGACCTGGATAGGAGCTTAAAGGAAGAGTAATCATTAATAAATCATGACTAAACTCATAAAAAATACATGCAAACCATGAGAAACCAAAAAGTGGTCTCTTGTTTATTAATCCACACAACCATATGACTAGTACTATGCAACTGTCATACATTTCATTATTAGTGGTTTTTAACTAACCATAGAGCATGTGTGCAGTCTTAAGGTTATTTCAAATTTCAAATTAATACTATATAAAGCCATCCATGAAACACTTTTAATGTGACAGTTTCTAGAATGTGTCTACATAAACATTTAGACATACACTCAGTTAGAGCTCTCGCCAACCATAACACAGACCTCCAGTGAGAACAGCTGTAAGTATGTCAAAGACAAGGAGGGCCTCTGTCATTGTGATAGTTGGAGGCGGGACACACCCAGGGCCTGTTTGTGTAAACCTTTGAACCTGGCAGGTGGTTTTGTAGGTAAGGACAGTACAGCAGACACAGACCATGCTGCTGCTGTCCTTAATGTGCTTTACAAGGCTGTCCTGAGAGGGAGAGGCTGTCCATGAATGGTCTTAATCTGTAATAGTCCTCTTGTGGAGTGGCCTCAGGTGAAATGGCCCTGGGTGTGGCTCTTGGTTTAATGGACACCCAGCAGTAATCCCACGCTTGTTTGCCCTTTGAACGCCTGGCCTGTCTATGCAATGGCACATGCACATAAAAATACACAAGCCTTCCCACCCATGACCTCTTTTTCACCTGTTCTCTGGCAACAGAGAAGATTAGCAGTCATTTAGTGTGATTATGTGTGTGCATGATCATAAAAAGGTGTTATCAGGCAACATTGATGCTAATCGATTCCTTCACAGAAAGAGATAACAAGGAGTGAAGACAAGATATATAGCAGCTAACAATTACATATTTATTAGATATAGTGAATACTTTCAGAGCATTGATTAGAATGCAGTTACTGCTCTAATGTTGCTTAGCCCCCCCACCTCAAAGGTGAAGCCAGAGAAATAGTGAGGTAATTGTGTTAAACCTGTAATTGTCATGATTCAGCACAGAGCAGAATTCTAAGTACAGATAAGAATGTCACATGCCTTTTGTCAGCTGTGCAGTCATGGACTATTCTGACACATTCATTATGAGTTTTTAGTCAAACTTTTTTCAAGCTGTGTTTGGTATAATGTTAAAGTGCACTGCGACAAATGCATGATTTGTGATTCTGTCAGGACCCTGCAAGTCCATTACAGCATTGAAGTCCTCAGACTTTGATTGATGCAACATATCTTTCACTGCTACATTGTGATCTTCTCTCTCCACAACATGTTTATATTACAGACAGAGACTAATTTCTCAGCCTTTGCTTTTTCAAATGAAATATAGGTCCCGGGGCGAAAAACTAGTCATAAATTTGGATAAACAAAAAAGGAAACTTGTGCTGTTACTACAGCAATTCAGAACAACAACAACCTCATATGGATATAACTTGACTGTAAATTTCCTGAGCATATGCTACATGAAGGCTCAAGACTAATGAGAAACTAGTGTGTCCAGGAAGAATGAGACATCCCCGTGATATACAGGCTGAGAGCCTCTCATGAGCTATGCCTTTTGCAGATTTGGAAAGCAGTATTTCTTATTATGCGGTTATGTTAGTACATTAATTTATTACCTGTAACCTGTAATTTCCTCATTTGACACTGGTGCTTTGGTCTGTGCAGGTTCACCATGCTCCCTGCTAACCTGCTGCTCCTGATGGTCCTGCTGCTACCTCTGCCCTCGTCAGGTCGCCACAGCGGACAAGCCAGCCACATCGACCATGGCCAGTCCAGCTCAGTTCTGGAGCCCAGTGTGGTTCACACCATTCAGAGTCTGCTGCTGAGCCGTCTGGGCCTCAAGTCCAAACCTGAGCCCCATACTGGAGTTCAGGTGCCGCGCTACCTCCTCGACCTGTTCCACTACCACCAGCAGCAGTACCACCTGCTGGAAGACCCAGCCTTCAGCTTTCCCTCTCACCACATCCAACAGGCCAACACAGTTCGCAGTTTCCACCACTCAGGTATGTTTTCTACTCAAGATACACTGGAGGACCACTTGGTCATAGAGTTCACATGGTGAGATGTATTTGGCCTTTTTAACTCCATGAAATCTGTTTACTGGGACCATAAATCATTATAGCACTAAAAAGGGTACTTTGAGACCTTTAAAATAAAAACAACCATATACACAAAACAACAAAATATTATTCTTTGCCCTTTCCACAGAGCCCTTTGGTGACGCTGCTGAGGAAGACCACAAGAGAGCACACATCTCCTTTAACATCTCGTCCATCCCACACGATGAAACATTGCTGTCTGCTGAGCTCAGGCTCCTGAGAAATGACAGGGCCGCTCTCGGCCCTTGGCCCCTAAGACTGAACCTGTATCTCTCTGAAACCTTCAAAGATCCGAACCCTGTTCTAATTGAGAGTCGTTTACTCGGCCATGGTCAAGAGGAGGGTTTGTGGGAGGCATTTAGCCTGAGCTCAGAGCTCCTCCATAGAGCCCTCTCTGGACCTGGCAGAGTGGGCTTTGTGCTAGAGCTCCAATCAGAGAAGAACAGCTCACTCCATGACCAGAACATCACATCACATGTTGCTGACCAGGAAACCAGAGAGAGTCATTTAAGGGTACGCAGGTCTGTGAAGCAGGACGACTACAGCTGGACTCAGGAGAGACCTCTGTTGGTGACCTATAGCCATGACGGCCGTGGCGAGCCTTTAGTGAAACATGGTAGGAGGAATCCTAGCATACTGAAGAAGATGAGAGGGAGAAAAGGAACCAAAGAGAGGAACAGGAATAGTAGTATGGACCATTATAGAGACTGGGGAAACACCAAAAAAGCAAGTCCAAGCTGGGCTGGCAATAAAGGAGGGCTTGGTTGGGGTGATAGAAGAGTAAAAAGAAATGGTGGGCGTGCGTCCAAACTAAAGCGTCTCTCTAGAAACAGGTGCCGGCGCCATAATCTCTATGTAGATTTCAATGATGTCGGATGGCACAAGTGGATTATTGCTCCCAGTGGTTATGACGCCTTCTTCTGCCTGGGCGAGTGCCGCTTTCCGCTGGCTGACCACATGAACTCTTCCAGCCACGCCATGGTGCAGACCTTGGTGAACTCTGTTAATGGAGCAGTGCCCCGGGCCTGCTGTGTTCCCACCTCCCTCAGCCCCATCGCCCTTCTTTACCTGGACTCCCAAGACCGTGTGGTACTGAAGAACTACCAGGACATGGTGGTGGAGGGCTGTGGCTGCCGATAATAAGCATCATGTCTGACCATAGTGGAAAGCATAATAAGAACAGCCTATGACTGATTATGCAATCCACCGAGAATGAGATTTGAATGTAGCAGTAAGGAGAGAATATGGAAAGTGATGATCAAAAATAAAAGCTAAATTGATGGACATAAAATGGATGTTAAAACATTATCAATAAGACTAGTGCAAAAGTGCAAGAGGAAAAAAAATATCAACAGTACTGCCAAAAGATATTACTAACTTACATAGTGATGCATTAGTTTACATATTTATAACATTCATGGTCACTGAAAAGAAGCCAGGGCCTTGATATTAGATTCTCTCATATTTCTTCAAGAGCAGCCAAACTGCCAAGCCTAGCAGCACTTAAAGCTTTGCTGTATATTATGGTTTAAAGAACCTAGCAATTATCAACAGCACCAGCAATACGACAATGCCACCAGCGTGGGATCTAACACAGTGTCTTAACTGAGGGTGAACACTTTAATATAAAGACAAGAGTTCGACAAGCACCCTTACATACAAGCTATTTAAAACACAGCAATATTTGAATACTGAAGAGGTATTATGCTATTGTTTGAATGTACCACTATCTTATTATTTAAAATGTTTTTGTACATTTCTGTTGCAGTCATTAGATGGTTGTCTTGTGATTATGTATAATTTAAAAGACACATTCTGTATTTAAATATTAGCAATATGTTGTATTTAATCTTTAAAGTATTTAAGATACCTGCACTCAACAGAGTATATGGCAAACCTAGAGCTTCCAGTGATTAAGGAGGCCACACGCCTGTATAGATGCTCAGTGTATTAAGTCTGTGTAACACATAATAACCACTGCGCAGTTCAATGTACAACATGATAGCAGACAAATGTGGTGTTGTCATTAGAAGCTCAACTAACAAATAAAAGAAAAGCTCTGTGTTGTAGCTGCTGAAGTGTAAAACAGGCGTCTTTGCTAGTTGTGTGTGCATGTTCTAAGATTCAGACTTTAGTGCCTTCTAAACAGGGGCTATAAACATATTCTCTGCTGAGCTAAATCATTCTTTTGTTGTGTTGCATTTCTTTTCCAGTGGAAACGGCTTGTAAAATGTTCGACAATATACCTCTATTAAACAGAGCAAGCAGCACGACTGTCACGACTCTTTTTATCTGACCTGTTTTTCAAGTGATGATGAAGATGCTTCACAAATTATCCACCCAACAAAGAGAGAAACATTTCACAGTGCAGTCAGTATATAAAGCACAGAACCATTATGTACAGTGCAGTAACAACCCTCAAAGATACACAAAATCACAGTGAATGTTGGGACTGGTGGATGGCACCAGTCAGCATCATGATAAGGTTTACTATTTCATCTTAACTTACAGGCAATTTACCTTGCATTTTGCGACCTGGCCCCAGATAAGCGCAAGAAAATGGATGGATGATTGGATGGATTTTGCTTAATGACACAATTTTGCACAAATATCTTTAATTACAAGGTAAATATGAATTCAATATTAATCAAGGTTTGGGAGGTCAAGAAGACTCTACAGTTGAGTCTAAACAGCTCCATTGACCATCTACAACACAGAACATCTGAGGCATAGAATTTGACAAGAATCACACAAGAATGTTGGTAAATACAAAGAAAACATAAAGTGTTTGTCAGTGGAAACAGTGCATGCTGAATATAAAACTGATTATAATCAATATAATAAGTTTAACCTACTTAGTTTTAGTTTATATTCAAATGTTTTGGAAGAAAATCAATCATCAAGGCAAGGTCGCATCCTGTGGCACACCAAAACTTGTGTCTGTGGTCCAAGCTCTCCACTTCAAACATCAAAACCAGTTTTCAATCACAGAAATCCCTTAAGTGCACTAAACCACTGTTATATGTGTATATAGGGTGTCACGCAGTAAAATAATAGTGCCCCAAATCATTACAACAGATGTCAAAGTATTCTCCTCCTGAGCCTTGTTGCTGCTGAGTTGGTGGTTTCATTCTGAAACATAAAGCAGATAGCACGGGTTTGGAGCTTTACCTCAAAGCCTTAATAACAAACAGATCCAATGCAGAAACCAAAGAGAGGAAACCTGGAGTAGAGACCAGTGCAGAGGGGCAGGTGCACTGTGTCAAAACAACTGTGCTATCTTCCGGAAGTGTCCTAAGCCAGAAGGCACTGACTCACATGTGTATTTCATATAGCCACATATGGACCAGATGTTAAAGACTATTCTTTTAACGACCCCCTTCAACATCCACGTAACAACCATAAAATCTAATCACGTGGTAATCTCTCTTCATTTAGCTACCAATTTTGTCTACGCTCCAGTGCTCCCTGATAGCTTGAGGATGATAAACTATGTTTTGACAGGTGTCCTGCAATAGGGATGCTTTTTCACCCTTCAGTGGAATTTTCATTCATTCTCTAGTTTATACTTTTTCTCACTGTGTCTGAGTGGCATTCCATGCTGTGGACAAGGCTGAAGGAGCAGAACCACTGGTGTACCAAGAGGAAGGAGTCACTCAACATCTTTGGCTGGATGAACTCATATAGGTGATACCATGTACTGCAATGACCAAGAAGAATCCAGTCAAGGGAAAAAATACTAAATTATTTAATTTAATTAATTTCACATGGACATAGACCATTTCTCAAACAAACTCAGCCTGAATAGATTTGAATTTACTAATAATTGCTGTCAAAGTTATTAGTCTTTACAGCAGATTTGATGAATTACGCAGATGTGGTCATGGATTTGCTCACTCTGCTCCTGCAGCTAATAAAGTGAAAAGCCTCAGGTGAAAAATAATAAAAAGTGAAGTTTAAAACGAATGTAATAATGTTAAAATATTGACCAAAAACATACAAACCTATTGTCGGTGTAATTAACATTTTTCCACACTTAAAAATGATCTGGCTCAGAAAAACTGTACTTTTCTGAGCCTTTTTTTTTAATCATAAACAGCTGTTGAAAACAATGTTATTAGAGCACTGAGAGAGAGAAATATAACAAAAACATCATAAACACGGTGAATTAGAGGTTATAGATAATAAATCAACAGAATACAATTTCTATTTGTCACATTGTTTTTATAATGCCATGCTTTTATTGTGAGCAATTATTTTATCTGTAACATAAATCTGGAAAGAAAACAAGAGCCATTAGGCTGACTCCTATAATAAAGAGTAGAGCTAAGTAAATCTCATATCATTTTGTACTTTATATCTACACCTCAATTAGTCTTAATAAAGCAAGGACAAATATCTAATTCATAATGAAGAAATACTTTAAGAATGAATTGAGGCTTAGCTCCTTAATTAAGGGGTTAGGACATTAATTAGCTACTGAGCCTAAATCAGTCTCAATATACATGTTCATCATGAATAAAGTCTCTCTTTTTAATGCTGTTAAAAATTAAAAGTGTAGTTATTAAAAAGTATTACCTTTTTAAATAATATTGTTATTTTTGGCATCTTAGTCATGATATGAACCTTAAATGTTTCTATTTGACAAATATGTGGTTGTTGTACTTTTAATTTGACCTTGTTAAAGAATAGTATGAAATAGAGTGGTAATCAAGTATGTTAAAGCTGACACACTATCTCTTTAAACCTCTGCATGAACACTGAAGAGAGGTATTTGAGCATTTGCCTCTCTGCATGTGTCCGCTGTGTCCTTAATCAAAAGGCCCATCGCAGCACCGTAAACACATCCATCATTTGAATCTGTCAACTTATTGGCCAGGCATCGCTGAAGAGAGAGGATGGGACCCAATGACTGCAGCAGAGCCTGAGTAGAGATAGAAGCAGTAATCAAGTGATGAGGGGAGAGAGTGATGGTGAGAGGAGGGTGTACAGCTGCTGCACTGTTTATTCGGAGGACATCTCTCTTCTCCAGATGTTCAACAGTGTGCGGAAGCGGTGATATGGAGCAGAGGAAAGGGGAGAGAGCCGCGTAGAAGTGCTGGGGTGGCTGCCAGCTTGGACTCATCATAGCATGTTTTACGAGTTGCTCAGTCAAGGTGTGTGATCAAAAATACCAAACAAAACTCATATGCAGGCATACAGGAAGCATGTATAAGTAAGTAAATATATACTGAAAACACTAACCACTAGATAGTAGATATTGTAAGATGTTGTAATGTGTTTTTAGCTGTTACTGCTAGTGGTATTTATACTGGCAGCTTCTGTTTTGTTTTTATTTTTGGAAGGATGAGATTTGCAGTTAGAAGATCTTCGAAGGTCTAGTTCAGATATACCCCCAGACTAGAGTGGAAAAAGAAAGTGCAAAAGGGGAATGATTCTTCATCTTCTATTTAGACAGAGGATTATTGGTCTAAAAGTTGCAATAATGGCAAGCAAATTACCTATAAATGATTTAAACAATAAGAAAGTAATAACTGAGAAATTTGGCAACATTTCATAGAATTTTCTTTGTAAACTGTAAACACATGCATAGAGAAGGAGATACCGAAATAAGCTGTATTCAATCTGATTTACAAAATACTTTTGAACACAGTGAATTAAACATGGATTTTTATTTATTTTTTGATAAAATAAACCTGTACTAAAAGGTTATTGATGCCATTAATAACTCAGGGTTTAGTAAGTCCCACACTGAAACTTTGAATAAATGGTACTTGGACCAGTGTGTCGGAAGAGTGCGATCACTGGATGTATAATTGTCATGGGTGGGTTCCCAAAGAAAATACATACTCCCTACTTTCCTTTTATCTCTTCTAACAAACTGCTTTCCACAAATTTATTTTTCAAAATACTGATTTGATGCCAAAACTCTCTATTACAATAGCACATGTGTCTGAGTGGAAACAGGGTAGATATCAGGCTCATGAAGAAGTGGTCCATCAGTGAGCCGTGGTACACAGCGCTCCGGAGATACATTAATGGAAGAGGAAGAAGAGAAAAATCAGAAAGTGGAGAGGAGGGGAAGGCCTGGCATAAAGATCAGATTAGCGCTTTTAAAACATCTGTGAAGTTGTCTGTCCCAAACTACCATCTCCCCAAAGATTTAGGTCTGCTCTAACTTCTCTCTTTTAATCCTCTTTCCTTTTGTTTGGACTTTTTTCTCTATGTGCCATTGTGTTCAAAAGAAATATCATACAAATTATATACAGGCAAATGTTATTAATTTACAGGCTTTATTTGCTTACAGTGAAAATTTATGATATTTCAACTTCTCCAACTGCTATTGCCACAACAAGTCTGCTGAAAAGTAAAAAATACTGCTGGAGGCCCTTTCTGAAGCAGCACCTGCATTTTACCTGGTTTTATACATCATAAGCAGTATACAGGTCCATGCAACGTCCTTTCTTAGAAATAAAAAAATATATATGTCAGTGCTTTGACTAGACAGAGGTGAGATTTACATTTTATAGGTCTAAATCCAAAGGAGAATCAGTGGTGATGAATTTGAAGTAGCCATGCTTGTTAATGTTGTGTTCCTCCTATGGGGTGATGCAGTGTCTATTCTCCCCCAGAGGCTAACTTTGAGGCTTGATAATGTGTCTTACATTAAACACTCTCCCCAGACCATCCGTGACTGCAATGAGACTTTCACAGCGCTTATGTATTATTTTTGGAGGGTCCTCCAAAATGTAGGTCCATGGTAAGTGATGGTTGGACCTGAAAAGTATGAAAGCATTCAAGATAATGCAAGGATAAGTTTGTAGCAGCAGAAAACAAATATAAAATATAAGCAAAACAATTTCATGGTGAAAAAGCAACATTTTAGTAATTTGTGGACACTTGGGTAACTAAGCCTACATAAATCCATTACTCCAAACATGTTTTTGATACTAGTCTGGTCTGGCCTCTGGTCTGTTAGAAATATAATGGCTTAATTTAACTATTCCCCTTCTCCTTCACGTTTTATTAGGCTCTACTTTTACTAAACACACACTTACTTCGCTTTAATCTAGAATCCAGCTTTTCTAATCACTCTGTCAAACAGATGTCCAACAGCAGGATCAGTGTTTTACAGATATTTTCAATAAATCACAGGGTTCTCCCTGCGCAGTCCCCAAACAGATTATTTTGCGTGTGTGAGGATGAAGCATGGGATGAAGGCTCACCTCATATCTTCTGGTGTAACTTGTCAAAGGACGTAGCCTACAGGGAAAAGAAGACATAACAGAACCATGGAGCTTAACAGTGTAAATGTAGCAACAAACTTTTTAGGTATAGGGTCTTTAGTCATTAGGCTATTATTTTTCATTGAAAAAATAAAGTCAGTTGGTGGACTTGGCAGTAGTAGTAGAGCAGTAGTAGGGCACGCTGCGGGCACAACAATCTATGTTCACCAATAATTAAATTAGATACATAGGTAAAATACGTTTGCGAGCATGGATATTGTTTATGTTACAACAGCCTACAGATAGGTCCAGGCTCTCCCAAAACAAAGGATGTGTTTATAGGGAAAAAAAAAGAAAAACTTTTGCTACACAGTGGCAATTAAGATAAAATACATGGCTAACTGAAGAGGGCGTTGAATGGCCCCTGTGCCTGAAAAAAAGAAACATGGTCAATGTAAAGGATATGCAAAAGATTATAGGATTATAGATTTGGATTCAAGTGGAACATAATGCCATTTCAATGTGGAAAAAGGGAGTAATATAAAAAACAAAGGGGATAGGCTAGCCTTCAAGATGTGATTTCACAGCCAAATGTATTTGACGTTATTTGTTCATTTAATAGTGGATTCTTACATACACTGTTGGTGGCACTTGTGATGTAGGCATAAGAGCAAATAAGATACAATTTCATGGCTATAATATTGTATTTTTATTGCATTTAGATCTGAAGTCTGTTTAACATTGAAATATATTGTGTTCTAATTCACTGTGCCTTCAGCCGCCTCTATTTCAGAATTTTGAGAATTCTGATGGCACTGAAATTTCACTTTACCTATGCATGAACTTGTGCAACCACTACATGAACATCTAAAGACAACCCATCCATCTTCTTATTTGCTCAAAGCAACATCATAATATTATAAATCACTGGCTTATTTTAGTTCAAATGAGAAAACCAAATGAGAAACCATGATAGTTGTACTCTGCACTCTGGAGTTCACAAACATTCATGGACCTGCACACAAACAAATACAGGCTTGAGAACAGCCTTGAGCTGTCAGCACATGGGGTTACTGCCATGTAAGTTATTTTTGTATTTTATACTGACGTCAAGATGGAATAAAGGCATCAGGAAGTGAAGGAGCGACAAATGAGGCAGAAGAAGGAAAACACAAGTAACTGAGATTGCATGATGATTGCTATATCTCACTAGTCTTAATTGGAGCACCTTCACTCAGTTTTCATCATCATCATTTCCTAAATCAGCTTATTCATTCATACAGAGCATAGCTTGGTAATGGGAGAGAGAGTGGGAAGGGACATTTGTGACATATCCTCTTTGACAAGTCTAGCAGACATGGGAAATGTGTGCCAGATTGCCACTTCCTACTTGTAGGTTCTCAATAAAGTAAGCATGCATGTTGGGAACAGGAAACTCCAAAGCACATCACACACAGAGCAAAATCATTTTAAGAAATAAAGTGTGTAAAATGTCTACATCCTTTTCTATGTGTGTCTGGGCTGATGAGGTAGAATGGGTGAAACAGTCATATATGGTTCTGAATAAAAGCAAAGGGAAAACCAGATATTATTAAGACTTTAAACTATGAAGGAACAGGTGGAAAGAACCAATGGGTGGGTGGTGGAAAAAATCTTAGTTTCCGGCAATGACGTGGCAGCTTCTTTTCTTTTGGTTGAAACCCACACACAATGGTGCACAATGCCAAATCAAACCCAAACATTTATACATCCCAAGATTCAATCCTGTGTTTTCATAGTGTTTAAATGGGGACGTGTTTTTATAGGAAACTGGTGACATGTGTTATGGACATATGGGAACCATCACAGCTGGACCAGGAGCACAATGAAAGATGCGTGGGGTGCCGTGGGATATGATGCAGAGTTGAAACGAGTGAAGAAAAGCCTGTTTACCAATTTAACGATCCTTTTGTTGACAGGTTAGACAATTTAATATCCAAGAGCTATCACAACAGGGGTCAACACAATTGTAAAACTAGTATTATATATTACTTAATAACGATGGAAAATGATGACGAACGAAGCCAATGAACCTTGGAATGCAATGTGGGTTTGATTTGGCAAGTCTATACATACAGTCACTTTTATTACATTTCAATTATGATACAGTAATAAATTGCATAAAATGTTTATTGTTTATTATAGCTTCAGCAAATAGAGGTGTAATTCCAGAACCATATGCAAGGAATAACCTTCCCCAAGAATCTGTTCAGTTTTAGTCAATTAGTTCATCTAATTAGAGATTAGATATTAAGATTAGATCATCTTCTTCACTTTACCAAAGTTTTTAATTCAACTTCTAAGTATCTGACCACACTGGCATACAAATAGTGGACCAAATATCTAATCTAGCCAGCTCTTATTGAAGAAAAAACTAATTGAGTCAAAGATGGATGGGAACTGTACCAAAGATGTGGTCATTCTGTCCATAATGTTTATTTATTAGGGCACTAAGGATGACTGGGGCCAACATTTATTCAGCGTAACAACCTTTCTTAAGTTAAATAAGACATATTGAGACTGCCACTGCCTTGAGAGATATTATCACTGTCATTACGAAGAAGGCGAATGATGAATGTCTTATCTTCTTCTGTTTAGAGAGTTAGTAGAGTTTGTATTTTGAACTGTGTCATCTGCCTTCTCTTGGCATACTGTTTGTTTCAATCAAGACACTTGCAGTCTTACAGTGAACCTTGAATCCAAGATAAATTGCTTCTGAAAATGATTCCATAATGTCATGTGGTCTTCTGCTGACAACTAAAGAGCTGAACAAAGGGAAAAACAAAAGAAGTAATGCAGCAATGCTCCTATAGCATATATTTATTACAGCTTTGGGAGAAGAGACAAGTATATCAGATATGCTAAATAGATGCTTAATATCCACCTGTCACCTGCATATACAGCAAGAACTACTTGTAAATTCAACAATCAGGGAAGGGAAGAGATGAAGGGAAGGGAGCACAGCTGCTTAAACCATATGGCACTAAACAATATAAAAGAAATCTTGTTAGAAGATCTGGTTTTGCTGTCAAAGGTAATTCGTATGATCGGATCATCTGATGACTTCCTCTGCGTTTGCTTTCATGTCTATCCCTCATTCAGCAAGACTGTAGAAGTCAGAGTTACTAGCTACTGTTGCTAGTAAATACAAAGAGGGGTTATCCAGACGAAGACTCTCCTGAGCACTGAGCAGGATGAAACTCTTAGCAATACACACTACAGACATACAAGTGTTTTGGAAATGAATAGAGTATGCACACACTTAGTATGACATTTATGTAATGGAGGGGGAGGGAGCTGTGCTAGCTCTGAGTCCAGGTCTGTCTTCCCCTCATCATGAGGATGTGTAGCGGTGGAACAGAACTAGATGCATTAGATCCAAGCAACCTGCTGGGAATGTCCCTGCTTACTCTGTCATCCCATTTCCATAAGTTACTCTCTTTATGGGAACTGGCACAAAGGAAGTTTCCAGTAGCTACATACTGCAACGTGGGTCATGTGCATCTACAGCCTATAGCAACATTGGCAATTGTAATATCCGCTTCTAAATAATGTGTTTCAAGATAACCTATGTTATTAAACTGCTCTCTCCAAGATTGTTATGTGTAGCATTCTGAATTGTTTGTGAACTCACAAATATTACAAGAACTCATCTTTCCAGGTTAACATGTTATGTGATGTTACATCAAAATGCAACACTATTGTCTCTATGAGCACCAATTTTCCTTTACCACAGCCATTGCTGGGCTTGCATTGCATCACTGTCTTTAAGAGATGAAATGGTTTTAAAGAGACATTGCACAATACAAAACCCTACTTCCATTTGTTTCTGTTTGGTGTTCCAACACATATAGGATCTATTCTAGACAGAAGATTGTCCTCACTAATGATAGCATGATTATTAGATCCATAGGTGGGACTATGGTCATTCATATAGGCCAATACAGCCTCACAACCACAAGTCTGTGCTGCCCCCTGTTGTTAAGGACGTAAACAGCATGCCAGGTAACATCTCTAGTGGTTCTTAACTTTTTTTTCCCCAAGAAGCTCCTCCTGCTTGTACTAAAGACTTGCTTATATGCCCATGTTTTGCCAAGGGCTACACAAAAATATGAAAAAATAGTGAAAGATTTCCAAATGTGCACTGTTTACCATCTGTTTACTGCATGGATCTCAAAGCTGATGAATCTTGTTTCTTTTAAGTAACAGTAATACATTTTGACGATAGCTATAACGTTTTGTGTTATACTAATTTGAAGTAGGTTTCTGTCAAAAAATAATCGTAGTGTTGCTTTTTCGTTCCACGACCACGCAACGTTACGTCTGCTGAACGTAACCCCGTGGGTAACGACGTGCTGACGTAAGACGTGTGAACAACAAACAGTTGTTGGACTTCCACAAGCTGCTAGCGAAGGTAACATGACAAAAACAGGTCCGATGTACTTTTCTTGAATTGAGAGACATTATTGCAAGCCGTACTGTCTGTATTTTCTGTATTTAGGAACTTACTCGGGTGCAGTCGACAGGTGTAACGACGGTACGCATCTATCGCTACTGTTAGCTTCAGAAACATGCTCATATGTGGAGAGTGACGCCTGTTTTTTTCCTCGCTGCCGCTGGTCTGGGGCTGTGATGCACGACAGAGGGTGAACAAGAGGTCCTGTTGGAAATGTTTGCTTCCTAATGAAGAATGGACTTTAACGCTGGCGTAGAAAGAAAACCAGGCAAAGGAGCGGACATGCGACCGTATGTAGGCCTGGATATCGTTGTTGGGAAACTACTTTAGCTCGCTAGCATTGGATCGCTTCTTTCATGCAAATGAATCGGTTTGTGTGTAGCTGTAAGCTCGTATTGCTAACGTAATGGAGGTGCTCAAAGCTACCTGTACATTATAAATGGACTTACCTAGCCTCTCATCGTGGAGATCTTCTGACTGCCAACAAATCAAAAAACTTCTGCAAATAGCGAAAAATAGTAACCAAAAACGTATGACGTGCCTTTGTACTGACGATTTTAAAGTTTTAGTATATTTTGGGTCAGTGTCACTGATTTACAAATGTGAGCCATTTACATTTCCCCCTCTGCTCTAGAATGAATCAGACGATATCTGAAGATACTGTGCTGATTAAACTTGAATTGTAAGGAGCTGAATGCTTGTACATCAGTGAGACAGAGGCAGACGATAAGGTCCTGCTAGTTCTGGTTACTGTTTAACCCAATATGCTGTCTGTCTGGCAGAGTTAAAAAACCTTTTCATTGGAAATGAAACCATGAATATCGAAGAGCAGTGCCTAGATGTGTGCAATATTAAGACTAAAGTAAATGACCAAGATGATGACAACACTACAACTAATTCAGAAGGGGTCATACCCTGTATTTCAGAGCTGATGATGGACATTAATAGTGATAAACAAACTATTGTTCCAACTGACACCACCAAACTTTACCTAATGCCTCAGCTTACAGACAACGTTCAGGCTACGGAAGAGGACAATCAGAAGGATCCAGATGGACAAGAAATAGATGAGGTCAATGGAAATTGTAAAAGTAGTACACAAAACACCCATGTGGTTGAAAATCCCTCTAATATCGTTATTTCAAATGAGGAGCCACTGATGGACAGTGTTGGGGTAACAGTAAAAAAGGAAGAAAAGGACTGTGAGGTCATATCAGGGGAAAGCCGTGAAGCTGGGGACATGGACATTGGTTTGGATCTTAGTCTCAATGAAAGTGGTGTCCTGGAGTCTGAATCTTCAGATGTAACCCAGTCAAATAATGCCTTAGCATCAGAGCTCTCTACCCAAGAGGTCCTAGCACTCAGCACGACAGAGAGTGTATCAGATGAGAGCCAAAACAGGAGCACAGAGCCCACCTCCACAGAGCAGACCGAGGAGTCACCTGCAGTGGAGGAGGCAGAGGACAAACTCAAAACCGGTGGTAAAAGAGTGACATTTCCTTCAGATGAGGACATCGTTTCTGGAGCTGTGGAGCCCAAAGACCCCTGGAGACATGGTAACTTCTGTTTATGAAGAGCTCTTTATTACTTTGTGCCTGTTAGAACATGTTTTAACTTTAACACCCACAGCCAAGATAATTTGATTTGCCGTCATGCTCCTAATATACAATATGCCCAATGCAGCTGTGTAACTTTCACCACTCCTTGAGGTGTGCCATCTTAACTGTGGCTACCTGTTTGTTAAGTTAACAGACTGCTCTACAATGCGTGTGCAAGTGGCACAGTTGTTTTAGAAACGAATAAACATGATTCTTAATTGTTTTCATATTTAAATAATATTCAACAGTATACATTATATATTAGAATATAATAAATATCCTTTCTCTTATAGCTTTTCACAATTACGGTGAAGACTAAGTTGTACCATAAATTAGGTTTATGTTACTAGTGGTGACAGTGTTTAAATGTACTTTCTTTAAGATGGGGTGGGCATAGGCTTGCTCTATTATAGAAAAATAATAATAATGATTATTTAAATCATAATTGAAATAATTCAAAACAATGATTTGCTTGGAGAGTAGGTGGGGCTTTGGACAGATGAAATGATTGTGACATAGCTCACAGAAACAGATGTAGAAGAGTAGGAAGGTACAGTCCATGACCAAACTTTCCACTCAAGGAAACACCTATGTATGCATTTAAACATTGTTAATACTCTTACTATATATAATTATTTATTACTGTATTATTATTATTATATAATATTAATATATTGATAATATAATATATACCCACATATGTATGTGTGTATATATATATGTGTGTGTGTGTATATATATATATATATATAGCTATAGCGAACATACATGAACATTCACACAGACAGTGGCTCCCTCTTTTCTGCTTCACTCGAGGAAAAACTAAAACTAAAACACAACACTACCCACGCCAGTCCATCTTTCCCACAATCAGGGAATAATTTAGCTCCATAAAATGCTTCTTTTATATATATATATATATATATTATATATATATATATATATATATATATATATATATATATATATAAACAAACATATAAACACAAAGTTCATCAAATTCAATCACTTCTTGTCTGTTGAATTTGTATTGGACAGCCTACAGGCAAGGTTTGTGGACAGAAACAAACGGGGTGGAAAAAAAGGTTTTGAATCTATTTATTAATCTGCCTTTGCTCTTCTGTGCAACATAACACGTAACTTTGTCGTTGTCTATGACTCATAATTGCATTTAGTCACTTTATTCTAATATTGAGTGTCTTAGTTTCAGGCTTTGCTTAATTGGAAACACATCGTCTTTATCTGTTCATCAAGTGTCAGGCTAACCCTCTAATGCCATTGGCATGGACCGGGTTATGGCTGTAGCAGTTTAAAAAAGGTGAAATGTTCAACTATCACTAGCATACTTATTATTTTCATGGATTAAAAGGACCCAAGCTTTAGGCAGCAGTATAACAATAGGAGGCAGCTGAGGTGTTGTATTTCCATTTCCAGTCACTCTTCATTTCATAAGAATTGACGTGGTCCAGCTGAGTTTTCTAGGTAGCTGCCATTGGCACACAATGTTGTAATTAACACCATCCTAAATGTTAACTAGTGTCTATTGAATTCACCGACTGTGAACAATAAACCGGAAGTTGTAACTCCAAAGGTAACTCTTTTTAGTGATCCTTTGTGCTTTGCTTCTGGCTTCTATCTCTGTCAGACACAGGGGGCTGCCTGTTCTTTTTTCATGCCTGGGCACATTACACCTCACATCCACATATTCCTGGACTTCCCAGTGCAGTTTCACTTCGTAGAATCAGTAATTGTGAAATAGCATTATTCGTTTTTGACATTAGTCAACCATTGCCATGGCTGTATTACTGTAGCTATAATAATAGTTAGCTCTGAACCCTGATGTTTTACATGTGTCAGACCAAAGGTTTTCTTGGCTCTAGATTTTGTGGCTCTGCGACCCGTGACATGTTGTGTGCTGTGGCTCCAGACCAAATTACACACTGATAATGTCTCACCTCAGAGACTGGGTAGAAGCTGTTTTGCTTAAAGGCACAGTATATTTTTTTTACAAAAACAAAAAAGTACAACATAATGCATGTTGTTGTTCAATTTGGTTGTGTTTATTGCATTGGAAAACATGCATCTTCCTGTGAGTGAGCTTGCATTTCCACAAACCTGACATTTATTTGGCCTGGACGAGGGCTTCTTCCTGCAGGTGACATCCCATCTCCGTAAAGTTACTGCTGTACTGCTCTAATTGACTGCCTCTTTTTCAATGTGTTG